AAGTATCCAACTCAAGAAGTCTGTAAAATGTAACAGAACACCCCAAGGAAAATAAAGATAAATTCATAAGGTAATAAATTATTAATGAGGATTAGAGATGATTTTGAGGAAATGAAAAAACAATAAAACAGATAAACCACTGCTTAAAGAATACAATACTAGGGGCAAATTTTAAATGTCAAAATACTGACATTTTGTTTTTTTTAAAGTACTGAAATAGTAATTTATTTGTTGTTATATGTAAATGATTTCAAAGATCAGCCAGCAGCTTTTTTCACTTTTGACTTTCTTCATAATCATTTCCCCTGCTGTGGCCAATGCACCCTCAATTCCTTTGACCTGTGCATTCTCTTCTCAGTTCTTATGGCTCTCCACCCCCTCAGAGGAGAAAGCACTCTGTGAAGTAGATGGGTGACACTCTCAAAGAAAGCCTGGGTAGGGCCAATCTGCAGTGCTGAAAGCCTGGACTGCCAAGGGTGGCTCAGACACCATGGTCTTGAGAGTCTTTCACCCAAGTATCAAAATGTGGACGTAGTACAACAAAGATAGCTTCAAGGACACTCTGGGTGGGTAGAGGGGACCAAAGTTTAAGAAAGCAGGAAGCAGGATAATGATGTACAATGCTTGTATTCCCATACATTTAAAAAATTTGGGATGCAGGTAGTGGCTCACACCCGTAATCCCAGTACCTTGGGAGGCTGAGGTGGGTGGATCACTCGAGGTCAGGAGTTCTAGATCACCCTGGTTAACATGATGAAACCCTGTGTCTACTAAAAATACAATTAGCTGGGTGTGGTGGCGCATGCCTGTAATCCAAGCTCCTCGGGAGGCTGAGGCAGGAGAATTGCTTGAACCTGGGAGGCGGAGGGTGCAGTGAGCCAAGAAAGCACCACTGTACTCCAGCCTGGGCTACAGAGCTGGACTCCATTTCAAAAATAAATAAATAAATAAATAAATAAACAAACAAATAAATAAAATCTGAAGCTATACAATACCTACAAATTATTGCATTTAAAATCTATTAAGAATCTAATGAATTCCAAACACCTAAATAAATACTGAAACATTCATATTGTAATTTTGCTCCCATCTGGCAAATGCTTTACTGGCTAATCAATGACACAAAGAAGAATTAAAAGCACATGTGCACGCGTGCGTGGACGGACACACACACACACACACACACACACACACACACACAGAGGAGAGAGAAAATAAAGATACAAAAACATTAATAAAAAATCCTAAAATAGCATAATTCTATTGAATGGGTTATTTTTTAAGGGAAATATAAATTGCCAAAATTAACCACAAGAGAGACTAATCAGAATAGAAGAAATAGAGAAAACATTATTCCCTTAAAAGGAATTGGGAAGTGATGATGTCACATGTATTTTTATAAACTATCAAGAAACAAAGTTTTGATGCTACTAAAACTGCTTCAGAGTTTAAAGAAAGAAAAGCTTCCAAATTATTTTTAGAGAGTTAGTGATCACTACTTCTAAATCTGACAAAGAGCACAAAAACAAATTTTAAAAAATTATTTCACGTCACTGAGAAATTCCTCAACAAGCTATCGGCAAACAGAACTTAAGAATTCATTAAAACACTTTTCTCATATGTATGAAGAATCATTCCCAGAATGCAAAGGTAGTTCAATATGAAGAACTCTTAACAGGTTGAAGGGGTAAAACTATATATTCATGTTAACAAGACTTAAAAATTGTCTGATAAAAGTTCAACTTTCATTACTGATTCAAAATTTGCTTAGTAAACCGGGAAAAGATTGATAATTCAACATGACAAGTAAATATCTCAAAAGGCTATACCACCATGCTTAATACAGTTTATAGACCAGAAACATTTTCAATACAATCAGGAACACATCATACATGCCAAGCAGTATTTCTTTTATTCCATATTGGTTACTCTAGAATTACCTTTTAATTAAAATAGAAAATAAGAAGTATTGGGAGGCAAAATATCATTTGCAGATATACCGCAAAGAAAACAAAAGAGATAAGGTCTCGTTCTGTCACCCAGGCTGAACTGCTGTGGCACAATCATGGCTCACTGCAGACTTGACACGGGCTCAATCGATCTTCCTACCTTAGTCTCTCCAGTAGCTGGAACTACAGGCGCATGCCATCATGCCTAGCTAATTTTTGTATCTTTTAAGAAAGGATTTCGCCATGTTGCCCAGGCTGGTCTCCAACTCCGGGGCTCAAGAGATCCTCCTGCCTTGGGCCTCTCAAATAATGGGATTACAGGGACGAGCCACCAAACCATGACTGATTGATCTTTGATCTATCAATAGCTTTTTTTTTGAGACAGAGTCTCACACTGTTGCCCAGGCTGGAGTGCAGTGGTGTGATCTTGGCTCACTGCAACCTCCGCCTCCCAGGTTCAAGCAATTCTCTTTGCCTCGGCCTCCCAAGTAGCTGGGATTACAGGCACCCACTATCATGTCTGGCTAATTTTTTTTTTTTTTGTATTTTTAGTAGATATAAGATTTCACTATGTTGGTCAGGCTGGTCTTGAACTTCTGACCTCATGATCTGCCTGCCTTGGCCTCCCAAAGTGCTGGGATTACAGCTGTGAGCTACTGCACCCGGTCTAAATTAAGTAATGCACATGTGTAATTTATCCTGGTAAAAATTAAATATTACAGATCTCTACAGTAGTTATCCTTTCCTCCCACTCCTCCGTAATACTAACTACTGTAAATTAGAATATATCCTACCCAAAATTTTGGTATATATTTAAATTCACATATATATATCTATAGAAAATATAATTTGATGGGAAAAAAAGCTCTAAAAGAAAGCAGGTGTGAACTAATCTGTCAGAATACAAAATCTAGAAATGATAAACAATTAATGAATGAAAATTTGTAATGCCGGGCGCAGCGGCTAAGGCCTATAAATCGACAGCACTTTGAGAGGCCAAGGTGGGCAGATCATCTGAGGTTAGCAGTTTAAGACCAACTGGCCAACATGATGAAACCCCATCTCTACTAAAAATACAAGTATTAGCAGGGTGTGGTGGCCCATGCCTGTAATCCCAGCTACTTGGGAAGCTGAGGAAGGAGAACTGCTTGAACCCAGGAGGCAAAGGTTGCAGTGAGCCCAGATCACGCCACTACACTTCAGCCTGGCTGACAAGTGGGACTCTGTCAAAAAAAAAAAAAAAAAAAAATCTGTAAAAATGTGTTAACTTTCACATAGCAAAAATCATCACAAAGTTGAAAAGCAGATGAAAACTGAAAAACACAATTTTCTTTTTTGAGACAAAGGTCTCGCTCTGTTCACCAGGCTGGGCTGCAATGGCGCGTTCTCAGATCACTGAAACTGCTCTGCCACTGGGGTTTCAAGTAATTTTCCTGCCTCAGCTTCCTGAGTAGCTGGGATTACAGGCGCCTGCCACAATACCCGGCTAATTGCTGTATTTTTAGTAGAGACGGGATTTCACTATGTTGGCCAGGCTGGTCTCGAACTCCTGACTTCAAGTGATCGACCCACCTTGTCCTCCCCAAGTGCTGGGATTACAGGTGTGAGCCACTGCACCCCACAATATTTTGCCTGTCATATTGTTAACCATTAAGAAGTATGATAATATCCCAGAACTAATAAGTGCAAAGAATATAATAGGTCTAACAGTTTTTTTGAAATTTTCAATGATCCAACCTTCTGGTGAACATGTTCTTTGACTGTGACATTTCAGCCCTAGCAATTTATTCCACCCTCAAGAGCTTGACAACAATATATACAATAAGGTATAATGAGAATTTAATAGCAAAAGATTATAAACCCAAATGTCTATCAAATGAATATGTTAAATAAAATATGACATGTCCAGAGAAAGAATGCAGTAGATGTGACTGCCTTTTCAAATAATTCTAAGATGCACTTTGTTAAGAAAGTTTTAAAACTGTACAGTTTTAAACTGTAATAGCAAGGTCACACTTGTGTTAAAAAAGAGAATAAAAAGAAATAAGGTAATCTTGGCTATTCACTCTCATTAATTCAGCTCTAGAGTCAATAGGGGTGATAGGTTGTTATATTTTTTAATGAATCCTGGTTTATCTGAATTCTTGCTCTTTAGGGATCAAAGTTTCAAACAGTAATATATATAAAGACAGAAACATGCATATGCATACTTTTTTTTTCTCCTAGGAGAAATCAAAGCAGATAGCTAAAATAATATGCCTTTAAGAAGGCTTTTGGTTATTTTGTACCTTTTTGCGTTACTGAATTTCCTATTTTTAAAATTATTTTTGAATAATACATATTTCTGAATTTTTACAGTTCCCAACCACATATATTATTTTTAAAAATGTCCCTGCATAAAGAGATTAACATTTCTTGTGGAGTGTGGTGGCTCAGGCCTGTAATCCCAGCACTTTGGGAGGCCAAGGTAGGTGGATCACCTGAGGTCAGGAGTTTGAGACCACCTTGGCCAACATGGTGAAACCCTGTCCCTACTAAAAATATAAAAAATTACCCAGGCATGGTGGTGGAAACCTGTAATCCCAGCTACTCGGGAGGCTGAGGCACGAGAATCACTTGAACCCAGAAGGTGGAGGATGCAGTGAGCCAAGGTCCTGCCATTGCACTTCAGCCTGAGCAATAAGAGCAAAACTCCATCTCAAACAAACAAACAAAATCCCAAAAAAACAAAAAACCAAAACATTCTTCAGTCTTTATACATTTGTATATGTAAAAGCCAACTAATAAATACTGTGATATTTAAAAAAGAACACTGTGAAAATAGCAAAAAAAGAAAGAAAAATACAAAGAGAAACATCAATTAGAATTCTTTAATTAGTCAATTCTGAGAAAACTAAATATTCTAAAACTCCCCCAGGATTTCTTATCGGAAGAGAAGAATTGTATTTAGTAAATGCAAATAAGGCTGATAATTACATGTAAAAGAAGAGGATAAAAGTTGCAGAAATATTTCCTACATGTTTTTACACCATACAGTTATATACTACTTACCCAGCTTGGAAAATCAGACCAAGTTGGAACTCGCTGACAGAGGTCTCGAAGAATGCGTATGATAATCACACAGGACTGCAGACCATTAGCTCTAGCCTTGAGAGCAACATAAAAATCAATTGAATTAATCTTAGAAATACTGAATATATCCCTTGATGAAAAAAAGTTAAAATACCACTGTTCAATGGAAGCTCAGATAAAAACAAAAACAATCACATTAAAATTGGATTCAATGAGCTGCCATTTACAGCAGTATTTTATGCCAGGGTTAGTATTTAAAAGCTGGTATTTAGGTCAAAGTAAACAGATTATACAAGAATAATATTTCTTGATCCCCTGTGAACCTTGACCTGTGTTCATTTAAAACAGTAAACTTAAAAAAAAAAAAAGTCTGCCTACATTAGAAATAAAAGAAAAAGTAAAGAGCTAAAAAGTTTGTCTAGGGACTGAAAGGTTAAGGAAATCTGTTTGGTTTCCCTTCTGTGCCTTTGCATGGCTGCAAAGTCACTAAACCAAACAGCTGCTTCCTCACCTTTCACTCCCTACACTTATTAACTTAGAGAAAGAGGGGGAAAAAATCTTAAAACTATACACAAAGCTTTAAACACATATTCCATTATTTAAAGCAAAGTTAATCTGCAGCCTTATGGAATATAATATATATACACAAACGTGATGTTCCTAAACAAGTCAACTTTAAATATAGCCACAAAAAATAAAAAATAAAAAAACCCAACTACAAAACACCCCCCAAACCTAAGTTCATTGTCAAATTAATAATAACTGCAATATGCAGATCATTATACCCAGCTTTCTATGTTAACATATTTATTTAATTCAAAATAGTATTGCTTGGGCAATCTTTTGAAATGTTTAAGCACAGTTAAACATGTTGTACTGAACTACTCTCTCATAAGGCTACAAGAAAAAAGTAAAATGATGTTCCGAACCTGGAACCACTTAGCGTGGCGTAGAGCAGCCAGAGCGTCAAGGCATTTTTGCCTGTCCAAGACGTCCGGTGGGTCTTTCACCATACCCGAGGTTACATCTAAAATGGATTGAATTGGCAAAATGCAGTGAGGAATGGGTGTTTGACCAGGTGAGCAAGACACTTCCTTAAGGTAGCATCAGTGTCACATGAGCCATTTGAAAGCTTGTCAGCACTTTAATATACCCAAGGAGTTATTTTCAACAAATTTACATAAAATCCAATATGAGGAACAAAAGGAAGGTTAACTTAAACTCTTAATTTAGTAATATAATAAACAATTTCTGGAAATATAAACCCTACCCACCAAAACGAAATCTGAGGGAAGATTACTGGACACAGTGCACTAGCACAAAGATGACAAGACGAGGGAACACAAAAATCCACCTTAATAAATGAGAATGTACAATAAACTACTGAGTTTGTTCAGTACTCTAAATGGTCATAAGTTATTCTAGAGCTAATATAACAAAGAACTGATGAAAAATATGGAATTTTCAATATAGTTATAATCACAGAAAAAAAATGAAGAACCCAAAACAGGCACTTTTTTTTTGAGATGGAGTCTTGCTCTGTCACCCAGGCTGGATGGAGTACAATGGTGCAATCTCGGCTCATTGCAACCTCCGTCTCCTGGGTTCAAATGATTCTCCTGTCTCAGCCTCCCAAGTAGCTGGGATTACAGGCATCCACCACCATGCCCAGCGAATTTTTTTGTATTTTTAGTAGAGATGAGGTTTCACCATGTTGGCCAGGCTGGTTTCGAACTCCTGACCTCAAGTGATCTGCCCACCTCGGCCTCCCAAAGTGCTAGGATTACAGGCATAAGCCACCGTGCCCGGCCCAACTAAGAGTTTAACATTTTCTCTTCCACATGAAAATTTTAGCTATAAGGGAGTATGAAGTGCCCTTTAAAATTTAAAGTTCCCATAAAATATTTCAAAAAATGATTGAAGAGAAACAATAGGCAAACAGAACAAGGAACAGGAACTACCATGGTTAAACAGAATTAAGAGTGGAAAAGATGCAACAAGCAGCATCCTGTGATGATAGATGCGTAGGGTCTTTAAGTTGATTAAAACATAAATGAGCTACACAAAACTTGAGAAGAAAATATGAAACTAAATTAGGACAAGAAGTTAACTTTACATTAATAAAAGTCATTCATAAAAGTAGACAAGGGCTATCTTTATATCTATCTAAAAATATCTGTAAAAAAATATATATATTAACAGCAAATCTGCTAATGAAGCCATTAAACAAACGGCAATTATTCCAATCTAATTCATAGCTCTCAGTGATTTTAATAGTATGAATATTTTCTCAAAATAGAAAAATTATATTATCTATTGAATATAACAGTCCTTTGGCTAAAGAGTACCAAAATTATGGGGCACTTAGAATACAGTTTAATAATTGAGTATATCAAATGAATATGATTGACAAAAGAAAAAATACATGATAAAAGAAAAAGTTATCTTAAAAGTACTAGTTGCAATTCCGGTCAAATTATTCATGTCTCATTATAAGCATTCAGATATCTTAAAAGATAACTTGTTCTTATTTGAGTAGACGACATATAAAAAACATATTTTGAGACTGATAGAGAATTCCATTCTCTGTCTAGGGTTTCTTTTTCTTAGTGTTTACTCCTCAAGTAATCTGAGAGATACAGATTTTTCAGAAGATATATTTAGAGGGAAGACTTACAGATAATCAAGGAAAACTATGTGGCATTTTGAGGATAAACACTACAAGAGGAATTTGGTGCTAAAAAGAAGCCATCAATATAAAAATACTAGTAATCTCAAAACTTATAAGACCAACTATTCAATCTATAAAAAACTTGAACATAAGAAACTATTCTGTTAGGAATAGCTAAGGAAAAGGGACACACAAGAAAGCATAGCTAACCTATGAAGTTTAAAAAAAGAAAAAAAAGGCCAGGTGTGGTGGCTCACGCCTATAATCCCAGCACTTTGGGAGGCTAAGGCAGGTGGATAAACTGAGGTCAGGAGTTGGAGACCAGACTGGCCAACATGGTGAAACTCATCTCTCCTTAAAACTACAAAAATTAGCTGAGTATGATGGCACGTGCCTGTGGCCCCAGCTACTCAGCAACTTGGGAGGCTGAGGCATGAGAATTGCTTGAACCTGGGAGGTGCAGGTTGTAGTGAGCCAAGATTGTGCTGCTGTACTCCAGCCTGAGTGACAGAGCGACTGTCTTAAAAACAAAACAAAACAAAACAAAGCAAAACAAAACAAAACTCCTCACACACACAGACACACGAAAAAAGAAAAAAGCTGACTTCCCCAAAGTAGTATTATAACATGCTAAAGTACCTCTAAGTCTCTTATTTACTCACATTTGCTAAAGCTGGAATGCAAACAGATGACAATGTGCATTCTCTATCTAAAATGTTTCTAAATTTCTAATGTTAATTTGTAATTTTATCATTTCCTCCAATATGCAAGAACATTTTGTTTTGCATGTAACCATTCATAACTTCGGAACTTTTAATCTGTGATATAAATTCAAAAATGCCAAGACACCTATTGCAATTTTTTTTTCTTTGAGACGAAATTTCACTCTTGTCGCCCAGGCCGGAGTGCAATGGCATGATCTCAGCTCACTGCAGCCTCCACCTCCTGGGTTTAAGCAATTCTCCTGCCTCAGCCTCCCAAATAGCTGGGATTACAGGTATCCGCCACCATGCCCAGCTAATATCTATTGCAACTTAAAAACAAATTACGGCTGTAAGTAGAAATTTTTTATTTAGTGTGGATTTTTGTACCCATTTTCTGTTTCAAGTAGATTAACCCCTTAGATATATCCTGCTAAAATCATACTTGTTGCCTAACACCCAGTTAACAAAGCAAAACAAAAACCAGTTAATTTATAAAAACAAAATGCAAATTCTTATTCTACATGAATGTATTTCATAGATTTTAAGGGGTTAATCACCAATTAGAAGACATGCTGTGTCCACACTATTTTATGATTAAACGTTAATGGAAATATATTAATTCAAATTAACATGATCATGTAAAATATATAACCCACTCAACCATTTAAAAACTAGTGTGAACACTGCTCAATTCTAGAAGAGACGAAGACAAAACAAACAAAACAGCCACACAAAGGACAGTAACTGCCAGGCTCTGCATCCAAAATCCCTCCTTGATCAAATGGCAGATGTGACACTGAGCTTTTGAAAACCTTGGTCAAAAATCCTTCCGATGTCTTGGCAGCAACCCCTGACAGGATCAATCCCCTCTGCTAGAAGGCTTTGGACCGGGCCTGATAAGCTACAGGTGGAAAAAAACACACACAATACTTGACTTGCTGCAGAAAAGATTCTGTAGCAAGGGTTAGAGCATTCTGAACATTTCAAGCTTAAAGTCAATTAAATGTTTACTTAATGTTTAACTGTCAAACACAGTACCATAAAACAGATCTGTCATGTGTTTAACAGTTATTTGGACAATTTAATCATTTCCTTTATTAAATAATTTTTGGTATTAAAAAGGACCAGTATGCATTAAAGAGGCTACCACACTATGCGCAAGTAGTAACTCTCATGATTCATAATTGTTCTTCCGGCAAAGCCTTCCTTAACCCCTGTACTAACTCCCCAAAGCAAGCTATAGGCTTTAAATGATTTTAAGACACAGAGCATTGGGAGCTGCAGTGAGAGAGAATACATACCGTTATTCTGCAGCAAGAAAGAAGCAATCTTCATAATGAAGCTAAAGACATGGTTTACTGCAGTTATCTGCAGCAAGGAACACTACTAATGTTTCTACGCTTTGGCACATCCAACTTTTCAGCTCAGTGTCTTGAAGCAGAATCTTTCCATTTTGGACTGACCATTTTCCTCACCAAAATATTTATGAAATTCAGAACAATAATTCTAACTCAAGTCTGGGTCAGACAAAAATATAATTTTGTTTCCTTTAGAATGAATAGGTTATCAAATAATTTACTGCAAATATACTATTAACTTCAGACTTTTACAAGATAAAATAGCTTGATACTGTATAAATTTAATTAAGTCTAAATATAACGGAACAAAATGTATTCTGAAATAGTTAAATGGTTATAATTTTACACTAAATATAGCAACATTTACTTATAATATATATTAGTAGTTTTTCAAATCCCATATGTTGTATATGACCTGACCAGATCGACTCAGGAACTGTTTCTCCAGCAAAACCATGGCTAGACCTTTAGTAGAAATTCATGTTCACATAAGAAAATCCTTAACACAAAACTCATTTAAGATGCAAAGCTTAAAATATAAATATCATCTGAATATGGTGTACATGCAAAGTATGTAAAATTAGACATATCTCCCAATGACATTTTTGGCAAAATGTTCTTTTCCTGGGTTGTTAAAAGCCCAGTATCTTAAAAAAATTGCTGTGATAAGAAAACAAATTTAAAGAAACAGTAATTGAGAGACTACTGATGCTATTTTATACAAATGAATTTTAAGTAGGTAGTACCCTCTTCCTCAACCTGTATCACAAAGAAATATTAGTGTAGACTGTTACTCCATACTTAACAAGTTAAGATGTACAAAAACATGAAAGGAAACAAAGCAAGTTTTATCTGACCCATAAAACAACAGAACCAACATACTGCAGACACTGTTCATGCTTTTCAGCTTAAAAGCTTTTGAAGCTTTGAAAATGTTACAGAATAGTCCCTAAAGCAACATTGCTGGCACCGGCAGGATTTCATATTCTATAGATGTAAATTAAGTTTAAAAACCTTGAATTGTGTGGTGACTCACTACCTGTATTTACACAGTTTATTTTTCAGCATCACTAGTATGATAGTAGGGTCAAATGCCCAAATCCTCCTGCATTAGGATGTTCTGCATTTATGAAAGCGCTCCAAGCCAAAGAGCAACCTCAGAGAACTAGAAATATTTACCACAGGACAAGCCAAATTGATTATTACATATATAAAAATGCCTCTCAGAAATATAAGTGTTATGAATATGTAGCCAATTTTGTTTGTGAAATACTCTTGTCTTTCTGTAAGACAAGGCAAGTGCAAAAACCTCTTAATGCAAATTAAATCCCCCTAGTCACAAGCAACATTTTTAAACCATTTTTTCATGCATTGACTATGTCAGTAAAAATAATTTTGAAGTTTTTTTTCCAGAAATCTGAGGTTAGCAAGAAAAGAAAGAAATCAAGACAATCAATCATACCATAAGTGTTTTATATAAAAATACATCACTAAAAAAGAGCATTTACTCTCTGGGAAATTATCTTAGGCAAAACCAGTTACTAAATAAGTCAAATCTATCAAATTCACATGTAATGCCAGCATGTTGCCTTCTAGGGCTTAATGCCATCTTAAAGAGTAGGTAAATGAAAAAAAAAAGTTGATAGAACGTAGAATGTTTAATGGCTTTCCAACCTCCTTCCCTCATGTTCTCTTCTCGAATAATTGGAGATGTCAGGGTGATAGTGACTTGCATTTTGGGTTCCACACATGAATTCAAAATTATCGCCGCTTCAGATACAGCACATTTTATGTCATACTTCTCAGGGCTTATAACCTGTGTAATGAAGATTTTAAGAAACAAATTAGATTGGATCTGTTGTATTAACAAACAAAAGCAGTTTCATTATAGCTCTTTCACTCTCTCCCTACCATAAACATTCTATATGAGGACCAGATTATACACTGCTCCTTCTAAAAAGCCCTGCCATACATGCTAGTACCAATTCTGCTGCCACCTGATAATTTAAAAAAAGACTCATCTACAGTAAAAAATGTCCCATCTGGAATAATGGTAATATAAAACAAGCAATAGTAAGTGCCACAGTTGTCAGAGTTTTAAGTGTAATAGTGTGCTTCACTGTCCCTTTTCTCCTCAGTTGCTCTGCCATAGTAAGGTACTGTTCTGATTTACTACTGTAGAATACACATTATCAATGAAATCCTATTCCCTGAATTTAAAATACTTCATTAAATTGCAAGTTTTGTACTCTCAACTATTAAAAGAATCACTATTTTAAATCTCAATCATTCTGACAAGCTAATATACAAAATTTTTGTAAATAAATTGAAGCTTAAAAAAAAGTTTGTTTCTGTAGGACCCAAAGAAAATATTCTACTAGTTTTGAATTTGTCATGCTTTGTTGGATGGAGATGAAGAAAGTATTTCCTACCATTATAAACATGTAGAAAACTGAAAATATTCAAAATAAAACTGGGGAAATTCAAACCAGAAAGCCTATTTAGTTACTATATTTTATTAAAAGCATTCAACTAAATAGGAAAGAGGTTCATGAACTAAAAAAAATTAAGCTTGCTACACATGGGATTTTTTTAAAAAAAATAACTTTGTCCTGAACAACTGCCTTCTTATAATTCAAGTCTTGGAAGAACAAGAAAAGGAAGGTATGTAGATGCTGCAATTTTAAATTTTTAAATAAATCAGCAAGATGGCTTCATGTCAAATACAATCACTATAAAACCTAAAAAAGATGAGGTAGAAAACAGTTTCATCAGTTTACACAATCAAGCAAAAAAACTCAATACAGAAAGTCAAGCCAAAATTTTAAAGGCTGGCTTACGTTTAAACTGAAGCACAGTCAGTCCTGCCAAAAACTTCTGAACCAGACAAGGGGTAAAAATTAACATTTCCATAATACTTACAGCAAGCTGTTTGGGTAGGTTTTCTGCAATACGGCTTAATAATGTCTTTGAAGGTTTCTCTGAGCACAGCAAAACAAGGTTGACATTTCTATCTCCTCGGAGAAGTAATCCTTTTGCCAATACTCCCACTCGCAAAACTCCTTTCAAAGCTCTGCAGTAAAATAAAATTATATTTCTCTGCTCAACCAGAAGCATGATATTCTCTAAATATACAATAGTAAGTGAAGTAACTTTCATATCATTAAAATTTCCATCAACTGCAGGAGAAAAACATGGATGTTTTTAGAACTACATGTAAGCAATATGAATAAAAAAATCAGAAAAGAGCTAAGTTCTTTATAGGGAGACAAGTGAAAACCAATGGACACTAACACTTGCGTTTCTTATTCAGAATAATGAGAGTCATGTTTAACATAATACGAAAGTATTTCCAAATGGTAAAAGGAAAATAAAAAGTTACAGATAATAATGCAATCTTGAAAGATATTGCTAAAGCTTAGGTTTCATCATGCTTTATAGTCAATGCTTTAAGGAAATAGTTATTATAACAAAGACTGAATGTGGGGCAGAAGCAACAAATAAATAACAGAAAAAGAGCAGCTGAATACAACTGGAAAACTATAATGGCTGCTTTGAAATAGACTCAAAATGGTTTATATAACTTAAAATGAGTACAATTACAAGGTTAGAGACTAAAAGTGTCCATGAAATTGTGTATGTCTATTTTTGCAAGAAGCAGCTGAATACATGAAGTATCTAACACAGGCATGGTTAAAACACATAGAACTCACACCAGAGTTATAAGCTATATTTCAAATGTAAGAAGTCAACATAAGAAAAACCAAATTACACATGGTAAATAACTTTCAAAACACACCTGTCTTTACCTCCCTCTTTCTTATCATCTCCCTCTTTGTTCTTGTTCTTCTCATGTTCAGACAAACTGTCTGAAACCAGTTTTAAAGCACGTTCAGTAATAGAAACAATTTTCTGAACTGCCTGTAACTCCTCTTCAGTTGGATAAATTGTGGCATGTTTTGTCATTACATAACGGTCATCAGATGAGTCAGGACGACGTAAGGGCTAAAGAGAAAAAAAAGTTACTCAATTTAAAAAAAGTTTCCTGAGAAAAAGCAAATGATTATTTTTCAACTATACATATCTGTTGTATCTTTTCAATAAGAAAGGCTTTAACTTCTTTTTTCCATTACAGTAAAAACAAAAAATGCAACTATGGAAAGTTATATCATCAAGACTATATATGTATGTATGTATGCATACATACATGTATACACACTTTGCCTCAAAACAAGTAAAATTATAATACATATAAACCTTAAGCTTTGAAAATGCTCTTTACTCAACTTTAAAAACCAGTGATTCTGAAACTTTCTCTGCTTTCAGTAATTCAAGTCTTACAACTGCCAAGCCTCTGAGCAAAGATAAATGAGAGAATAGGTTAAAGAAGAGAAGTCTACTTTTTCCCTGTAACTACTGTGTAGAGAAACAAATCTTGTTTTTGGTAGACTGAACTTACACGAGATGTCCCTTTTACCCTGCTTCTGTACAACATAAACTCTCAAGATATAGATTTTTCCCATAATCTTAATAACACATCAGCTCTGGTACTTATCTTGAGCCATTAATCTACCCCTTATCTTTCACTCAGTTTAGAAGAAGTAGGTTTTAGATGGTCAGAACTGGAAGAAGGAAAAAAGATTCTAAGCCACTGGTAATGGGAACATGAGAATAAATTTCTATTAATAAAAAAAACTTTTTAAAATAGACACTGGGTTTCACCACATTGCCCAGGCTATTCTTGAACTTCTGGCAACAAGCCATCTTTTCATCTTGGTCTTCCCAAAGTACTGGGATTATAGACATGAGCCACTACACCCAGGCCAGTAAGAATAAATCTAAAGACAAAGGAGTTGCCTTCAACATCAGTTGTTCCTGACAGGCATAGTGGCTCATGCCTGTGTCCCAGGTACTTGGGAAGCTGAGGCAGCAGTGAGATATGATCATGCCATTGTGCTACAGAGCAAAAATAAGAAAAGAAACAAGAAAAAAAATTAGTTGTTCCTGCTAATGTAAGGAAAACCAAAGGCAAGAGTCACATGTGAAAGAACAGTTGGCATAAAAAGCTCTGCTCCCATTTAGCATATATTGAAAATAAAGAGATTCCCAGAAGCTCTATGAGGTCCTTATATAAAAGACACAGGAGACATACTCCCTTCCTGTAAAAAAAAATGGAGGAAAGATTCTAAATCAGATGACAAACTTTTATAAAGCTGGGTGCAGTGGCTCATGCCTGTAATCCCAGAATTTTGGAAGGCCTAGGTGGGCACATTACCTGAGATCAGGAGTTCAAAGCCAGCCTGGCCAACATGGTGAAACTCCATCTCTACTAAAAATACAAAAATCAGCCAGGCGTGGTGGTGAGCGCCTGTAATCTCAGTTACTTGGGAGGTTGAGGCACAATTGCTTGAACCTGAGAAGCACAGGTTGCAGTGAGCCAAGATCATACCACTGCACTCCAGCCTGGGTGACAGAGCAAGGGTCTGTCTCAAAAAAACCCTTCTTTCAAGGTTATAAGGTTAAGTCTAAAAATTAGCCCCTCTAAAATTATTTTCTTCTAATGCTGAACCAAACTTTCACCCCTTATATCACCAATGTGGACACTCACTGCAGGCCCCTGAGGCTGAGGAGGCATGCCTGGTCGAACTCCCAGAAGGCCTAAAGGGCCTGGAGGACCATGAGGATAACCTCCATCTGGCATTCGGCGGCGATCATCCCAATGATGCTGTTCTTCCTCCATTCTTCTCCAGTACATGTCCTCTTCATAACGTCTGAAACATAGTAACATTATAAGCATATGAGGAAAAATACAGCCCAAGAACTTACATCAATAGTGACATAAAAAGCAATAAAAAACCCCATCCAAATCAGCCTAGCTAAAATTTCTTCCCAAATGCATCTGAGTTTCCTTGTTTGCTTTCATTGTGAAGTAAATGAAAGAGAAAAGAGAGCGTGAGAGAATAAGTAAAGCAAAAGAAAACTTCAGCCTGAGGAAAAAGTAAAAAGAACAGGTATCAGAAACCTCAGAGTTTCTTATAACCTCTCTCTTGCTTTAAGTATGAATGGGAAACCCAATGCCACCTAAAGGAGGCAGACCAATACTGTGAGTAGAAGACTAAAGTGCACATACGACATATGAGAATTTTCTTCATGTCTTCAAAGAAACATGCTCTTCCCTATTTCTACTATGAAGAAAAACAACAGTGCAAGACAGTGATAAATGACAAGTCATAGTTTCACTGTTGGGGACATATTAAGCATGCTGGGGATTATGGTAAAGTAGAAAGAACATGTCCTGGCTAGAGATAACAGCTGCTGCAACTCAGCTCCTATTAATTGTTGCCATAAAGGAATACAACAGTCACCACCATCCTTATTGTGGTGGTTTCAGTTACGGTCAACAATGGTACATAAATATTGAAAAGAACGTTCTAGAAAGACTTCATAGGTTTTAAATCTTGTGACATTTTGAGTAGTGTGATAAAATCTTGCACTGTCCAGTTCCATCCCACCTGTGAATCATCCCTTTGTCCAGCGTATACACACAGTATACATTCTACTTGCCCATTAGTGCTGTCACTGTTATCAGATGGGAAACATATAGTATATATAGGGTTTGGTACAACCTGAGATTTCAGGTATCCCAAGGTTTTGGAACGTAACCCCATTGGATAAGGGGGAGAACTACTGTACAGGCTGTATTGCTGAGGTCATCAGGATTTTTTGTGAAACTTCATTGTTGCTGGTTCAGATTACAAAATACTATGCATACCAAATAGAACACCTGAGTTCAGCTCTGAGCTGAACTCAGAATGTGGGCAGCTAGCGTACAGCCTCTGCTTTACTGGCCAACATTTGCAGAATCTATTCTTTCTTCTTCTTTTTTTTTAACCATCTCCTCCCCCCGTCCTTCTAGTTCTTTCCTCACTTTCAGCTTTAAATCAGGATACCAATAATTCCTAAGTGAAACCATGTGTCTACAGAAAATTTTCTTAACCATAGGTTTTACTAATCTGTTTAAAACAAAATATAAGAAAGAAGCGTGCTTCTTGACTGCCATTACAGAAACTACCAATTTCCTCAGGTTGGGAATAAGCAGTGCTTTTTTTGTTTTTCTTAAATTGGCAGAGACCCACTCCGTCACCCAGGTTGGAGCACAATGGTGTGATCACCGCTCTCTGCAGCCTTGACCTCCTGCAATCAGGTGATCCTCCCACCTCAGCCTTGCAAGTAGATGGGAATACAGGCGTGCACCACCATGCCTGGGTAATTTTCATATTTTTTGCAGAGATGGCGTCTTGCCATGTTGCCTAGGCTGGTCTTAAACTCCTGGGCTCAAGTGATCCGCCTGTGCTGGCCTCCCAAAGTGCTGGCCCCTGAAGCTGAGGAGGCATGCCTGGTTGAACTCCCAGAAGGCCTAAAGGGCCTGGAGTGAGCCACTGTGCCCAGCCAGCAGTGCTTTTTAGGATCAATCAACTGAGGACTCATGGAAATCTTTCTTCTTTCTATGCTATTTAGGCTTTGAGAAAAAAAATAAAAACAGCTTCAAGGTTCTGGAAAATCCTGTTCATTCCAGTTTCTAATAGTTTACTGTGGTTGCTAATGATGTTTAAGTTAAATGAGGATAGTGGCCCTTATCCATTGCCAATTTGTGCTCAGTACCTAATACAGTGCCTGGCACAATGTAGATGCTTAATAAATAGTTGATATTATCAGTGAAAGAGGAAATCACTCTATAATCTAGCTACAGAGGAGAATTTTCAATATGTTACAAAGGCAGAAACTTCATAAAGGACAAAACTGATAGATACATAAAAATTAAAACAGACAAATAATAGTAAAAACTATTTAAAGGTAACCCATAAAAAAGGATGAACAACAATGTAAGAAATGTCTGTACAAATCAACAGGAAAGAAAAACCAAGCGATTTATCACAAAAGAAGTATAAATAGCCAAGCATGAAAACAATTCAAACTGAAACAAAAATGGCTATCATATTTAATTGGCAGAGATTTTATTAAACTATAGCAGGGTTTCTCAGGGTGTGATCCAGGGACCTCAGGTGGTCCCTGAGGCCATTTCAGGAGATCCATGGGGTCAAAATTATTCTCCTAATACAGTTGGTTGTGGTGGCTCACACATGTAATTCCAGCACTTTGGGAGGCCAAGGCAGGAGGGTCACTTGAAGTCAGGAGTTTGAGACCAGCCTACTCAACATGGTGAAACCCCATCCCTACTAAAAATGCAAAAATTAGTGATAGCAGGTGCCTATAATTCCAACTCCTTGGGAGGCTGAGGCAAGAGAATTGCTTGAATACAGGAGGTGGGGGGTATAGTGAGCTGAGATTGTGCCACTGCACTCCAGCCTGGGCAACAGAGCATGACTTTGTTTAAAAAAAAAAATTATTTTCATAATAATACTAAGACACTTATTTGGTTTTTCATTCTCATTCTAAATGTACAGTGGAATTATCAGAGGCAACATGTGGTATTTACCACATATGAAGACAAAAGCAAACATGAGAATCTTGCTGCCTTCTCTAAAACCAGATATCAAAGAGATATATAAAAATGTAAAACAGCTTAACTCTTCCTACTATTCTGTGAAAGAAATATAGTTATTAATTTTTTATCATATTTTATTTACTAACTATATTTTGTGTAATATTTTAACAAATATACATTTAACCATATTTCAAAAATTAAAATGTCATTTTAAAATGAATTAATAAATATTTAAATTTCTTAGTTATATATATATATATTGAAACACAGTGTTGCTCTTGCTGCCCAGGCTGGAGTGCAATGGTACAATCTCAGCTCACCACAACCTCCGCCTCCCGGGTTCAAGTGATTCTCCTGCCTCAGCCTCCTGAGTAGCTGGGATTACAGGCATATACCACCATGCCTGGCTTATTTTGTATTTTTAGTAGAACCAGGGTTTCTCCATGTTGGTCAGGCTGGTCTCAAACTCCCAATCTCAGGTGATCCGCCCACCTTGGCCTCCCAAAGTGTTGGAATTACAGATGTGAGCCACCGTGCTCGGCCAGTTTTAATTTTTAATACAGTAAGTCTTGACAGATACAACCCACATAAATAAAAGCTCTTTGGAGTTCTTGATAATTGAGTATAAAGGATCCTGAGACCAAAAAGTTTGAGAACCACTGAGTTATTATCCAGTATAGGCAGACATGTGAATATCCTTCAAACATTTCCATTTCCAGTATTCTATTATTGACAACTAACAACAATGCATGTAGTAATATTGCTTCAATAGGTTCACATACTTGGTGAAAGAAAAAAAAAAACCTGTCTCAAGGTGGGTCAATATATTGATAATTATAACAAATACTGGAAACTACCTAAATATCTAAACAATATCTAAACAACAAAGATTAGCTATAAAGAAAATATTACATCTGCACAAAAAATACTATGTCCTCACAAAAACTAAAATAATCCAAATTTAATTTTAAAAGCTGAAGATATGTAAATGAAAAAAGTGGATTATGACACACGTGTACAGTATGTTTCTGGTAAAACTCTATTTTAAAAGCTGTACAAAAATATTCACAGTGGCAATATCTGTAAAGGCCAAAATTTGGAAACAAGTCACATGTCCATCAACTAATGAATGAATAAACAAAATGTGGTGCATAAGGACGTGTTATTCAGTATCAGTCATAAAAGAAAAGGAATACTGATACATACTACAATCTGGATGAATCATGAAAACATTATGCTAAGTGGACGATGCCAGACATAAAAGACCATATACTATATTACGTTAATGCAAAAGTCATCGTGGTTTGTGCCAAATGAAATTAATTCAAATCGCCATTTGGCACAAACCATGATTCCTTTTGCATCAATCTAATATGATTCCATATATATGATATCTCCAGAAAAGGCAAATCTATAGAGACAGAAAGTAGGTTAGAGGTTGTCTAGGGCTAGGGCAAGTATGGGGGACACATGGGGAGTTATTGTTAATGGGTTCATGATTTCTTTTGAGGGTGACAAACTGCCTAAATGGATTGTGGCTATAGTTGCACAGCTCTGTCACTGTATAGTTTAGAAGACATATTTCAATAAAACTTAACATTTATTTTATAACTTTATATATAGTATATATTTCTATATAAACACAAATGTAAATAAATATATAAACAAATCTTTGAAAAATGTTTTCTCAAAAAAAAAAGACAAAAGAAAAATATGTTTTCTCAGTTCTCCTTCCCAGTAGCTCCTAAAGTTTCTTAACGGACATTATTAATATGTAGAATCTGTGAAATCTTATATTTCTATCAGGTAACAGATGTCTATTTTGCTTGTTTGAAACCGATGCACTTATTTATAACATGAAACTATTTCTTCATATGTTTAATATATACAAGATACCACTTAAACATATAACTCCTAATACCAAGATAATGGTCAAATATTAGTATAGTCAGTAACAATTTTAATGCATGTCTTTCCTAGACCTAGGATCTTCCTCAATTGTGAAAGCTCAAAGTAAATAAACCTGGATTGCTTTGAATAGGAGTCACATGCCTAGAATGCCTAAGATTTTAAGAAAGGCCGAACCACTTACTATGCTACTAAAAGTTAAAGATATTACCTCATTTCCATTCTCCAACGTTCCTCTTCTTCTCGCCTTCGCCAGTATTCCTCCTTCTGCATTTGCTTTCTCATTTTCTCTTCTTGAATCTTTCTTGCTCGAATACTAGGTTTTACTTCTACTTGCAAATCTGGATTTACTTTTTTCTATTAATATAAATAAGACATTAAAAAAATAGCAACCCAAAAACAATCTACATTATTAATCATATAATTCCACGTACTCTTTAATCACGGAGGCTTTTAGTTGCAAGTTTCCCACTAGAGAGTAAAATCAACATAATTAAAGTGAATCAGAGAAAAGATTCAGAATACATTAACAAAAAACATGTAAAAAGTATGTAACTTAGTGCTGACCAATAGAAAGTCATGAAATCCTTACGGAGACTCATCGATATTTAATTTTACATTTGACCCTTGAACAACAGGGGTTTGACGTGTGTGAGTACACTTGCACCTATGCTGCTGAGTTTCTTCTGCCTCTGCCATCCCTGAGAGAGTAAGACCAACCCCTCCTCTTCTTCCTCAGCCTACTCAACCTGAAGATAATGAGGATGAATACCTTTATATGATGACCCACCACTTCCATTTAATGAATAGTACATATATTTTCTCACTGTATGATTTTCTTAATAACATTTTTCTCTAGCTTACTTTATTCTAATACAGTATATATGAGATACACATAACATACCAAGTATGTGTTCACATAAAAATACTGTGTTATCAGTAAGGCTTCTGGTCAACAGTGGGCTTTTAGAATAGGGAGTCAAAAGTTATAAGCCTGTAATCCCAGCACTTTGGGAGGCTGAGGCAGGTGGATCACTTGAGGCCAGGAGTCTGAGACTAGCCTGGCCAACATGGTGAAACCTCATCTCTAAAAAAAATACAAAGGTTAGCCAGGCATGGTGGCATGTGCCTGTAGTCCCAGCTACTTGGGAGGCTGAGGTAGGAGGATCATTGGAGCCTGGGAGGTGGCAGTGAGCCATGTTCTTGTCATTGTACTCCAGCCTGGGCAACAGAGCGAGGCCGTCTCAAAAACAAAAGGTTACAGGCAAATTTTTGACTGTGTGAGGGGTGCCTGACATCCATGATGTTCAAGGGTCAACTGTAACTGTTTATAAACAGATGGCTCCGGGGTTAAAAAGTTTCTTTTCATATTTAAGCACTACCCTTTTACACTGCTTTAATTTTCACCTTCTCTGTTTTTAAAACAGAAAACATGCATCTGGTACATTAATCAAGTCTAGTTAAAAGCTTGAAATGCAATATCTGATTTATCTTAACATTTGAAGTGAAGTGTATTCAATGAAGAGTTCCTAAGGTAAGATAAGTGAAGGGATTTGCCAACACATCAACTCATCTCAAAGTTCATTTTGGTGGAATTCTACCAAGATAAACAAGGTGGATAAAGAGTTAACACTTTTTTCAAACATTTTATGTGAAGTAATTATCTTTATATGATTGCTTGATCCAGGCAATTCTTCAGTTTTTGCCACAGTTACTATAACTGATGAGAATGTTATTCTTATTTAAGTACAAAAATGATAAAAACCAAACAACCGAGTCTATCAACATGACATGCTAATCTTAGAATGGGACATCATGGTCTTGGCAAGTTGTGTTTAGATGCTTTGTTTTGCACATAGAATACTCTGGTGTTTTGTTTTGTTTCTTAAATAAGGTAACAGCTGAAATTTTACTCACTTTATATTGAAGTCTGTGTCTTCGCCCTTTTAAGTGCATCTCCTTAGCATTGGGATCATTAAAGCTGCACTCACATAATTTACAATGGAAGCGAATTACTTTTCCTTCATCGTTTCGTACCTTGATGTGGAAAAAAAATTCAACAACTGTAACAGGAATGTTATAGTTGAAGATGATATCATTAATTAAATCCCCAAATATTATATATATTGATGAAGCTGTACAGTTAGAATTTGCAGTGGTAGGGGGGAAGAAGTGGCAATGCCTATTACTTCTTTTTGTTCTGAGACAGAATCTCGTTCTGTTGCCCATGCTGGAATGCGGTGGCGTGATCTCAGCTCACTGCAACCTCCACCTCCTGGGTTCAAGCAATTCTCTTGCCTCAGCCTCCTGAGTAGCTTGGATTACAACAGGCATAAGCCAGCATGCCCAGCTAATTTTCCTTTGTATTTTTAGTAGAGACAGGGTTTACTATGTTGGCCAGGCTGGTCTTAAAGTCCTGATCTCGTGATCCGCCTGGTTTGGTCTCCCAAAGTGCTAGGATTACATGTATGAGCCACCCTGGTTGGCCTACTACTTTTTGAAGGATACAAACTGTGGAAATGGGAATGAAAAGTTGAAATTTTAGTATGCAAGATGTGTTAGCATGTTTGCTTTTGTAACTATCTTTGAATTTAATATTTTTGTCTGTATGTAAGCATTTACATGTAGCTAGATAGCTTAAATTTTCTAATAGTTACTGAATAAGTGCTGCTGGCCAAGTACTGTTCTTGAAAATGAAGATAAAGATGATTAACAGCATTATCTTGGTATACAAAATTTCTCAAAGCTCAAGGTTTTATAATACATAACTTTACGGAAAATTAAGATGAATTTTTTTCTAACTGAAAAGTTACAGGACAAGTAAACCTGAGTGGTACTATGAAGCCTATTATGAATACTAAGTTCAAATTGTGCAAGCTTTAAGATCGGCTCTGAATGTAATTCTCTGAAGTTTAGAATTAAACAACACCATCAAAAATTGGGGTGTTTTGGTTGAGAGCTTTTTTGAGATAACCAAATCTTACTCCTGTAAGAGATAAAACTGTAAAGTGAGAATTATTTCTGAACTACTTACAAATTACATAATCCACTTGTCCACCTTATAAAAAGAATTCAACATATAATTTTTCTTTTTCTTGTTTTCTTTTTTTTTGAGTCTCACTCTGTCGCCTAGCCTGGAGTACAGTGGTGTGATTTCGGCTCACTGTAACCTCCACCTCCCAGGTTCAAGCGATTCTTGTGCCTCAGCCTTCCGAGTAGCTGGGATTACAGGCACGTGCAACCATGCCCGGCTAATTTTTGTTGTTTTAGTAGAGACAGGGTTTCGCTATGTTGGCCAGGCTGGTCTTCGGCTTCTGGCCTCAAGTGATCTGCCCACCTCAGCCTCCCAAAGTGCTGAGATTAAAGGCATGAGCCACCGCACCTGGCCATCAATATATGAGTTTTCTTGATAGGAAAAAAGATAAAAGAACAAATATTTATTTAAAACCTACTAGGCCAGGTATGGTGGCTCATGCCTGTAATCACAGCACTTTGGGAGGTTGAGGCAGGCGGATCATGAGGTCATGAGTTTGAGATCAGCCTGGTTAACACAGTGAAACCTTGTCTCTATCAAAAAAATACAAAAATTAGTCTGGGTGTGGAATCTCAGCTACTTGGGAGACTGAGGCAGAAGAATTGCTTGAACCCAGGAGGCAGAGGTTGCAGTGAGCCACGACTGTGCCATTACACTCCTGCCTGGGCGACAGAGCCAAGATTCTGTCTCAAAATAAATAAATAAAATAAAATCGCTTAGATGCTAGACACCATGCTAGGTACTTTCTTTCTTTCTTTTTTTTAAGTGCAGTGCTGCTGGTTTATTGAATATACTGTGAATGACTCTGACGAGCTCATCATGCTAACAACCCCAGCACATTGTCCTTATGCTCTAAGATTGTAAGACACATGGAATTACATACTTCTTTGGCAGCACTTAAATATGCAATAACTCACTGAGATATTATTTTCAAGTGACCAGACACTGCTTTTAGACAGGATACCCTACAAGGAATTATAGGAAGTATTCTGTTAGTACTCGGAGCCAATGACGGGGAAGACTTGAAAGGAAGAGGCTTTATGTTAAGGCTTTATTCACTGTCTAGCCCAGTGCTAACCCTAAGCCTCAGGAGAGCTCCCTGCCTGGTTCTAGAAACCAACTTCAGCCCTGCTTCCTGCGCCAAAGCACTCAGATCCCATCTTGATCACTGATGTGACATTACCTGCTGATGGAAATGCTTGTTCTCATTTTCTAACTGAGGTCTGTTCAGTGTACACACTACAAGGGGGGATGATGAGGCCTAACTGCCTCTTAAGGTGCATCCATTCCTTCATTTATTCATCCACCCATCCAATCACACTTTTAGTCTCTTAAAATGTCATTCATTATCAGTCATGTATGAGTCAGACCTCATACTGTAGTTACACAAATGCAACAGATACAAACAAAAGTAAATTATTTCTACCTTCCAAGAATCTGCAGTCTTATCTAGTAGATAAGAGCATTGACTTTGAAGTTTCTTCACCTTTAAAATGACCTGTTCATCATAAATTGGTTTAAATATTCACTGAGATATTGGATATAACTAAAGGATAAAGAACACTCTGGTATTCTGTTAAGTGTTTTTATAGTACGTATTCTTCTATCCTTTCACTTTTAACTTTTCTGCATCTTTATATCTAAGGGAAGTATTTTATTTCATCTAATCTTCACAACTTTGTTAAGGAATATCCCAATTTTACAGATATCGACACAAGCTCAAAAAACGTATATGCTCTAAAGTCAAAATAAATAGTAGTCATATGCCACTGTTTGTCTTTCTGCTAACAGCAGGTATTTATTCAGTCTCCTCTGATATTCCTTCACTCCTTTATTTTACGAAGTTTATTTTACCTGTAAAACAGGAATAGTCTTCTACTCCACTTGAGAAACCAAATGAATATATTCTGTTAAATCAGTAACTTTAATTTTATCACAATACTGACTATTCAAAAATAAACATTTTGGTTCTCTTTATCAGCATTTTTGCTGCTCAGAACTTCTAAAGTTTTGGGATAGTTGAAGGATGTATTATTACAAGAATGCTTGATAGTAAATAGAAAGTTACTTTATCACAGTGACAGTGTACAGAGAAAAGAATATTTAGCAAAAAAAATATTGTGATGTCACTTAGGCAGGCTTAAAGGACATGCTTTTTTAATAACAAAAATTCCTTTGATATCCTTTCATTAAATAAGCGAAATCTAAAATACAATTAAATATATTTTACATGTAACACATGCTTGCAACTTCATCCAATTTCACGGCAATGGCATTCTCAAATCAATTACCTCCTCCACATAATCATGGCCTACTGGCTGCACATCACTCTGTAAAGCAGCAAGAGATGCAGGTGTGACTGGTTCTGACACTGTGTCTTGCTTTACTTCAGGAATCGGCACAGCAGAAGTGACAGGAGTACTTTTAACACATTCAGTTCCTTTTACGTCTTCCGTTTTATTTCCTGTTGACTGCAGCTTATTACCGCCTAGAAAAGCATCAAAAAATTGTAACAAATTTTATTTTTGTATAAACATATATATCTGGTAAGATAAAAACTTCAGATAAAGTTCTCTTGGGCCAACAGTCAAACTCCTATCTGACATACAACAGATGAGAATTTTGAAGAACTACATAAGCTATTTGGCTTTTTTTTACTCTTAATAAAATACATTTCTGAATTTTTCTCTTTTCCATTTTGGAACACCCAACACCCTCCTCATCCCTGCTCAAAGTGAATAGCAAGTAGGTGAAATGGTAAGGACTAAGCCAAGTTCATGTTTGCAGCCCTAGTTCCTTGGTAAGTGATTGAACAAATGAGTAGTATTTGTTCCTTTAAAAAAGTGCTAACTTCCAGTTGGCTTATGCCCTATGATCCCAGCACTGTGGGAGGCAGAGGTGGGAGGATCACTTGAGCCCAGGAATTTGAGACCAACCAGGACAACATGGCAAAACCGGTCACTACAAAAACTAGCTGGGTGTGATGGCACACAACCAAGTCCTAGCTACTTGTGGGGCTGAGGTGGGAGAACTGCTTGAGCCCTAAGAGGCAGAGGTTGCAGTGAGCTGAGATTGCAACACTGCACTCCAGCTTAGACAGACCCTGCCTCCAAAAAAGTCAGGGGTAACATCTAGGTCACCCCCTAGAATTTAGAAAAATTTTTAAAAAGGTAAGTTCAATGATTAGGTCTCCTTGCAAACTTAGTCTAAATAATTTTCCGCCATGGAAAAAAACAGAACCAAATGAGGTTTTATCCCTGTTTATTTCTTTTAACTGATTATCTACTAAAATCAGACATGAATTTACACTAAGAGTTTTTTACAAAAGATTTTGTTACTGTCGTTCTAAACTGAAAGTATGAAGAACCACAGAAACAGATGTAGAAGTGACTATAAATCATAGCTCTCATTTTTATCATCAATAAGACTTAAAACTTAACGTAACTGTCCAAAAGAGTATCATGTTAACTGTGAATCTCGTACTTTTAAACTTTTCTTCCAAAAATAAATTCTTAAGTATCTATAACAATCTGGATACTGCAATAAGTTCTGGTAATACAGTAAAGAGAAGACAATGCAGCTGCCTTTCAAGTGGCCTCAATTTATGAGAAGATACAAAAACTATAATACAATGTGGTAAACACTATAATAAGTATGGACTGAATATTGTGGAAATGTAGATTAATATCTTTAACATGATCCAGTAAGGAAAGGCTTCACAAAGGGTGTGACACTTGAACTGAGATTTGAAAGAAGAATGAATAGGAACTGGTCAGAAAGAAAAGAATAACGTTTAAAAAGAAAAAAATAGCATGTACATAAAAGCACAGAAACATGGTGTCAAAAAGGCTATGGAAAAATCAAGGAAGAGCCAGTAATTCAATACAAATTACTACAAAGGTAGAAGTGATGAGTTATGAGGCTGGAAAGGTAGGCACGGGTCAGGTAATGATGGGCTTTATATGACAAATGAGGACAGTAGATTTTATTCTATTGCAATGGAAGGCTGCTGAAGATTTTTAAGTAGAAGACTAACACAACATATACGTATTTTAATAAAATAACTAACAACAGCGTAGAGAATATGTTGAGATTGGGTACAATAAGAAATAAAACTCCAAAGAAGAGACTTTTAAGGCCTAAAAAAAACAAGGCAATGGCAACAAAGAAGACCATTTTTGTAGAAATACTATAGAAACAGAAACCAAAAGACTAGGTAAACAGCTGGAGGAGGCAACAAATACAAAGAAATAATGTTAGTGGATCTTCCACTTGAGAAATTAGCAATTTTATGACATTATTTCATGGTACTCTTGTCATGAATTAATGGGTTAGAAGGAACCACACTGGGAGGCATCTACGTGGCCCATACAGAAGATGACCAGGGAATATTTAAAATACAGATGTCCAATTCAGGTGGGGGTTCTGAATTTACCAAAAAGATTTTAAAAGTCACTGCCCACATGGGAATGAACTGAGACTACCCATGAAGACTGGCATACAGTGAGATGACAGCTAGGGTCATAATCTTAGTAACGCTACCATTTAATGAACACACAGGCAGGAAAACCAGTAAGGAAAACTGAGAAAGGGGTGGGTGGACATATCATCGAGAGACAGAGCTTACACCTAAAGATGTAGCAGTCAACTGTGTCAAATATTAGGAGAGTCAATAGGATGAAACTGAAAATTGGCCACTGGATTGGCAATTAGGTCTTTGGTGAGTACCGAAAGCAGCTTCGGAAAAAGATACAGAAACACTATAGCAGACTGAGAATTGGGTAGGAAGTACAGAAGTAGAGAAAAAAAATCAGGGCCACGCTTGGTGGTGCATGCTCATAACCTAAGCACTTTGGAAGTTGAGGTGGGCAGATTGCTTGAGCTCAGGAGAATTAGAAATCAGTCTGGCTAATGTAGTGAAACCCCATCTCTACCCCCACCCCCCCAAAAAAGCTGGCTGGGTGTAGTGGTGACACCTATAGTCTCGGCTACTCTGAAGACAGGTGGCTGGATCGCTTGAGCCTCAGAGGTCAAGGCTGCAGTGAGCCAAGATCATGCTACTGCATTCCAGCCTCGGTGAGAGTAAGTCTCAAAAAAAAAAAAAAAAAAAAAAAAAAATCAGGTTACCTTAAGATTACAGAAATGGGAAAGGGTCTTTGTGTGTGTAGATCTTTTTTTTTTTAAATGACTAGAGGAAGACACAGATATATCTGTATGGATGAAGGGAAGAAACCAGTAGACAATAAACTAAAAATTAAAAACACACGCACACAAGGCAAAAATGTGAAGAAACAAGGTCCGAGAGAGAAGAAAGGAGACAGGTCCAAGAACACAGGCAGAAGGGTTAGTGCTGCAATGAAGGAGAAACACCACTTTGACAGTCAGCAGGAACAGAGAATATCAGTACTTGCCAACAAAATTTATTTTGGGGGTAGATGTTTTCTTGGCAGCCATATTTGTAGGCACTGCTGATACTTTAGTGTTAGATGTGCTATTAAGAGATGAGTTTCCTGTAGTCGTAAGACCCTTCATTGAAGACGTTGCAATTGATGAAGTATTCACAGTACAATTGTTTGCTGCAATGCTTGAAGGAGAGGCAGTCGGCTTTGAAGCAGACACAGCTGTTGAAGAAGTAGCTTGGCTAACAACGTTTGGTTCTGTTGATGGAATGGGTTTACCAAGTTTTGTGTGTAACTTAACCACCTATAAAACAAAAGCACACTTATTTGTCAGGAAACTCAAAACAGATTTTGAAAAGTCTGCCTGGAACATTGTAAAATGAAAATCTAAACCATGCTTTTCTTTGCTATATTTTTTCTGCTACATGTTTTTTGTATATACACACATATACAAAACTCATTATTTTCAAGATAATCTCTGTGAAGCAAATGTAGGATACGTATTCCATCTACTATTAGGTGAGGAAACTGAGACAGAGAAAGATGAAAGAACTTGGCTTCATTAAAATTAATCACATGACAATTCCCAGTTAGTGAAACAATGGTTTAGTTCAATTTAAAGAAAGGTCTCCAGTCTTTCCCTCTTTCAGCAATGATTATTTGATGCCACCTTTATGTATTATTAGCACGTAAATAAGGTATACAATGCACTTAAAAGTTTTCAAAATTTGCAGTCACCTTTACCTAACCCCCACTGAAAAAGTAAAAGATAACAGAATCAAGACATAAGGGTGTGTGGGAAAAAAACACCTACTTTCTGATGCTTAGCACCACGAATGTGGGCAGCATATGCATCTGCTCCTGTACAAGACACATCGCAGAGCTCACAACGTAGCTGATTTTGAGTCCCACGAGTAGAATTGTTGCTGCTGCTGGTATTTTGTGAGGCTTTCAATGCAGCTTCTTTTTTTTTATGTTTCTGTCCTTCTAAGTGTTCTTTATAAGTCTGTTTCAAACCAAAAGGAAACGATTTGTATCACTAATTTTCTTTACACATCATTTAAGATTATTTCATTCTCAAATCTCTAATAATCGTTTAAAAATGAGATCAAAACACAATTTTTAAATTGAAAAACAGCACAGGGCATTCCTTATATATGTGACGTATCTATGGTTCTCTTTATCTTGTTTACCAAGAATATTATCTAACACTGAGTTACAAAGTACTTTCATACATAGCCACAATATAAGGCAATGGCTTTCAGTTCTATGAATTTATCTTTTGTTGCTTATGTTACACAGAGAATGCTAGCAGACAGTGATCATTCCATGAAGAAATTAAATTTAGTTACAGGATTAAGATGAGGCAGGGGAGATGTGCCTGTATCATTAGAAGAAGGAAAAGTTACTGTATGGTAACAAGATTCTTTACAAACAGTTATTTTTATTTATAAAACTGATTTTTCTAATCAGAATGCATTTTGACATAGAATCTGATTAGAATCCATGCCCCTAAATGAAATTTATTTAAAATACACGAAGGCCAATACTGCACATACTTGCAAGCAAAAACAGTGTTATAGTAATATTAGCCAATACAATAGTGAAATTATATATTAAAAATAATTGTGAATGCAGATGATTGAGGAAGGCAGTTAATTAAAGTGAGAGGAAATTGGCCAGGAGCGACGGTCCACGCCTGTAATTCCAGCATTTTGGAAAGCCGAGGCAAGTGGATCACAAGGTCAGGAGTTTGAGACCAACCTGGCCAATGTGGTGAAACCCCGTCTGCACTAAAAATACAAAAAATTAGCTGGGCATGGTAGCGTGCGCCTGGTGGGGGTTGCAGTGAGCTGAGATTGTGCCACTGCACTCTAGCCTGGGCAATGGAGCAAGACTCCGTCTCAAAAAAAACAAAAAACAAAAAACACCAACAGAGAGAGAGGAAATTAATAACAACTGGGTGGTTTTGTAAATAGGACCAAATGGTTCCTCCCTCATACTTTTTTTTTTTTTTTTTGAGATGGATCTCACTCTGTCACCCAGGCTTGAGTGCAGTGACACAATCTCGACTCACTGCAATCTCCACCTCCCAGGTTCATGAAATCTTCCCACCTTAGACTCCTGAGTAGCTGGGACCACAGGTGCCTGCCACATGCCTAGCTCATTTTTCATATTTTTGGTAGAGATGGGATTCTGCTACGTTGCTCAGGTTGGTCTCAAACTTTCTTTTTAAAAACTACCTCTTAAAAGATAGTTATAAACTGACAGACAAATAACTGGCATAAAATCATATATTCATCATACAATTTCAGAGCTGGATGAGACTTTGAAGATTATCCAAAATAATAATTTTCTAATTTTAAAATATAAGAATCCTTTCTCCAAATAAAATCTTACACACAAAAGTAAGGAAAGTTGCTGTTTTTGAAATAAAAGAGGGAGAACTAGGGCCCAGCCATTTGATTCTCCTCTCATTATCTGTAGTGACCTGAAATACCTCTACCAAACAGCCTGAGCCTAATTATTTAGGACAAGTCCTTGTTATAGAAAAGGACTTTTATTTCCTCAAAAGCCCAAATAAAAAATAAAAGCCCAAAGAAGTTAAGGTCTCTAACTTGCCTAAGGTTATATAGTTAGTGGCAGAGCCAGGACTGCAATCTTGGCCCCCAAAATCTAAATCAACTTACTTTTCCTTCTTAGGTACACATCTAGAACTCTAGCTCACAATCTCAATGATATTTTTCGCTAAGGCTCATTAACCCCTGCTTAAGGCACTGACAGTGACACTGACTTGCAGAAACACCTGTGGCCTGTTCTTTTTGTAACCATCCAGCACAGCAAAAATAGCCATCCTCATATACACTCATTCCAAATGCTCCTGTTAACCTATCACCCAAGCGTCATGTTGTATACTTTCATATAAGCCAGGTAATGAATACATTTCTTATGCCATGTCTGGCACTCATGACACTAACCCCTCTGAACAGTCAATGAAAGTAGGAAATGCTCCTTAAATACTAAGACTACCCACCATTCTTGTTCCCTTTCATGTTTACCCCAGGTCCCTGCAAACATATCCCACCTGTGCCACACCGGCCTCTCGATACCTCCTACCAACCATGCAATCCTCAACAAAACTATTTCCTGCCATACTCAAAACAGGGGAAAAGAGGGTTTATATATTTAGCCACATATATTAAAATGTTCTCTAATTTGGTATAACTGCGGGAATGCTAGTAATTGAAAAAACCATGCAAAATTCAGAAGTAGAGAAAACTAATCCAGTAAATTAAAAAAACATAAACCTAGGTAGGGCAATGAGAGAGATGGATATAACTTGGAGAAACTAGTAGAGAGTCAAAATTGGTTGTTTCCAAATAACATGCCTTTCATCTGCCAAGCTATTTACCAAATTTTAATATAAAAAGTAGATACTCTTAAGCTCAATAAGGCTGGAAGGGGGTTTAATCCATTAATTTTAATAAATAGAATCAGGTCATAATCACCCATTTTAACGTTTAGCAACCAAAAATAATACAATACTAAAAAAAGGAATAAGGGTTTTAACATTTACATGCCTCATTTGTTGGTATTTTTGAAAATGACACTTCCTTACACCTTTCTTGTTCCCAAAGTTTCTACTCCCCTTATGAAAGAGGTTATAGAAATAAGTAACATGCTATAAAGTATATATCAAAATCAGTCTCATTAGAAATGCAATCCTGAAAGTTATAGATTATCAGTAACCCATTATATTAAGTTGAAGAATTTTGAATAAAGGCTTTGTCAAGTGTAAGTTATAGATGCTAAAAATGAAATGAAATAAAAATTCAGTCTTACCCAAGTCCCAATTAATTTGACTACAAAACTTCTAAACTAAATTTAAGTTTTAAAGAGAAAAGTCTCCTTCTGGAAGAAGAGCTCAATTTGCCTATATATCATGTACATTAATAACCATCTTTACAGTTTTTTCCTGAAAATTCTCATGCCTCAATACAAGTAACTTTTAAAAAATGCATTAGCTGAAAGCTAACAGGAAAAAAAAAGTAAACCTCTTTGTAGGCTCAGGAGTTAGAATACCAACTACACTTAACTATCAAAAATAACCACTTAAGACTCAAGGTAAAACATACAACATAAGTACCTGTGGTCCAGCACAGCTGATCTTACAAACATCACAATAGTGAATCTGTGGTGGTTTGGGAGGCTGTTTTGGTTTCAGTTGTTTATTTTGGAATGGTGCTTTTTTAGTAAAGGTGGTCCCTGTCCAGGCAGCTGTTGCAGCAGCAGCAGCGGCGGCTGCTGCTGCCTGCTTCTGTTGCTGCTGCTGCTGTTGATAGTAGGAAGATGCAGCTGAATACACTGCTGCTTCATAACCTGAATAAGATGTACCTTACAAATAAAATCAAATAAAAATCATGTTACATACACATAATATGAACAAGTTAAAAGTTACAAATTTAAATTAAATAAATCCTGCCAAAAAAGATAGACTTACATGTGCATATTTACAAATGTGTATCTCACAGAATCAGAAAAAAGCTTACCTTCCTTCTAAGAAAGCAATCAACTAGCACTTACTCAACACATGCCAGGTGTTATAGAGGTATAAAGACAGTGTAAAAATGTGGTCCCTGCCTCAAAGAAGCTTATAGTTTGAGAGACGTGACAGTGTGTTTGACAAACTTGTCTGATGTTTAAAGAATCTGGTATGTCCCGGAATAAAATCCTGTGAACAAAATTTAGTAAGTGTTGGATTTGAGGAAGAATCTGAAGTAGGATACTAGATAGGAAAAACAAAACATGAAAGATTTGACATGCTTGGTAGCTAAGAGGACAGAAGACATAAAGGATGAGGAAAACATACAAATATGACACCAAAATTTGGAGGCCCAGCTATCAACTGATGGGTTGTACAACTAAGCCAACTAACTTAGTTTCTAATAAAACTAAGAAGCTGACAGATGCTAGCCTGGGGAGGCAAGGAAAATAAAGCTTAGCAGAAGTCTGTGATGTGGAACTGAAGTTCAGATGAAAATATAGGACAACAGTTAAAAGATTTTGGAATTGGGGACCAATACATTGGTTCTCATCTTCCAAAAGATGAAAAAGCATTATGTTTTCTGGTTACATGTATGAATTCTACCCATTTCCATTGTTCAGAGATTCCACTGAATAAATATATTATGCTAGCTGTTTATATAACATATACATGTTGTTTATGTTCAGTGATTTACAGATTTTTAAATCTATGAACATTTTAAATTTGAAAGCTGTGGATTTTACATATAAGCCTACCTGAAAACTGGTAAACTGACCATTTCTAAACTAAGATCTCTGGAAATTTGGTAGATTGCCTATGTACCATATTTCAGTTAGATTTCCTTATTCCTTTAAGTGGTAATGGATGGGCAAAGAGTAATGTAAAGCTTGAGAAAGAGATTCCTAGTTGACAGAATGGCACAGAAGAACTGCTTACAGAAAACTGAACGTTTTGGTCTCTCAAATGCAGATGGCGATACTGAAAGCCTTAGGACCCACTAATTCCAATAGATCTGTACACACAGGGAAGAAAAAACAAATTGGAATGGTGAGAGCTTAAATGCACAGAAAACCAAAATCATAGGAATCTGAAACCAGACATATCCAGGAGAGAAAGTAGTTAGGCAACTTTTGAGAAAAGACTTCTTAAGACTTATCTAAGTCAGGATGTTATAGTATATAAAGTTTTAAGACAGCAAGTGTGATAACAGACAAGAAAACATCTGTAATGAAAATAGCAAGAGGTAGCCGTGTATCAATGATAAAGTGTATGATCATATAAAATTGAGAAAACAATTGACATAACTGCTTAAAAGAAAATTTCTTTTTTTTTCTTCTTCTTCTTCTTGAGACAGAGTTTTGCTCTTGTTACCCAGGCTGGAGTGCAATGGCGTGATCTCGGCTCACCGCAACCTCCGCCTCCTGGGTTCAAGCAATTCTCCTGCCTCAGCCTCTAGAGTAGCTGGGACTACAGGCACGCGCCACCGTACTCAGCTAATTTTTTTTTTTTTTTTGAATGTTTAGTAGAGACGGGGTTTCACCATGTTGACCAGGATGGTCTCGATCTCTTGACCTCGTGATCCACCCGCCTTGGCCTCCCAAAGTGCTGGGATTATAGGCGTGAGCCACCGCGCCCGGCCAAGAAAATTTCTATAAACCAATAAACTCTTTACTGGGCAGTCCTCTGAACGTCCTCTGTTACTGAAGAATGTGATAAAAGAACATAAGCTCACAGCCAAATGTTTTCAAGCTTACAGGCAAAAACATGTATAGTTTAAATCTTACTGTAATGTCATAAAATTGTCCAATTAGAAATAAAGATGTTTTTAGATTATTACCAAGTCAGATCATGATTTTTACATAAAAACTTTATAACAGATATTTTCCAAATTACTTCAGTTCTTCTATACAGAGACTACACAAATGCCACAGAAATGTAGCTTTATGAATTACGTATTAAGAAAACTGACGCAGAATAAAGACAATAGGTGAACAGTGCTGGAAGACTAGGTCTTCTGTTTTTTTTTTTTTAAATCAACAGTTCACAATACAGGAAGCAGTGTGCCAGACACAGTGTAGTTTTTAGAACAGATCTATAAGGCAAGTATCACTACCTTTACTTTACAGATGAGAAAACTTATGTTTAGAAATTGCAGGATCCTTTAAACACGAAGCTAACTTAACCATAAAAATCACCAAGTTAAGCTTAATATTCATAAAATAATCTCCACTTGCACACAGGTAGTCTAAAACTAATAAAAGGCAAATTTAATTACAGCTTACTTATAAAAAATAAATCAAAGCATGCACTGAAAGATGGGCTGAAGATTCTCAAACTGTGATAAAGGGTATCTTAAATTCTCCTAAAACTACTAGCAAACAAATGTATATTTCCTGTAAAAAGCATTGTAGGAAAACAAATATAAAGCTGTGTCTGGCCTGGGCAACATGGCGAAACCCCGTCTCCACAAAAACACTACAAAAATTAGCCAAGTGTGGTGGCATGCCTGTAGTCCCAGCTACTCAGGAAGCTCAGGTGGGAGGTCGAGGTTGCAGTAAACCATGATCGTGCCACTGTACACCAGCCTGGGTGACAGAGTGAGACCCTGTCTCAAAGAAAATAAAAATCTGTCTATAAATTAAGTAAATGCACAATATTTGAAAACTAAAATAGTTTCGCTTAAAAGGTACTTTTACTAGGCCAGGCTCAGAGACTCATACTTGTAATCCTAGCACTGTGGGAGGCTGAGGCTGGTGGATCACTTGAGCCCAAGAACTCAAGGTCAGCCTATGAAGTATGGCGAAACCCCATTTCAACTAAAAATACAAAATATTAGCCTGGTGTGATGGCATGGACTGAGGTGGGATGGGTCATTTGAGCGCAGAAGTTGAAGGCTGCAGTGAGCTGAGATTGTGGTACTCTACTCCAAGCCTGGGTGACAGAGCAAGACACTGTCTCAAAAACAAAACAAAACAAAACAAAAAACAAAAAACAAAGAAAGAACTTTCATTAAAAGTGTTTATCAAGGCCAGGCATGGTGCCTTACACCTGTAATCCCAACAATTTGGGAGGCTGAGGTGAGCAGATTGCTTGACCTTCGGAGTTTTAGATAAGCCTGAGCAACATGGTAAAATCCCCTCTCTACAAAAGATACAAAAATAAAATTTGCCAGGCATGGTGGCTCACGTCTGTAGTTCCACCTACTTGGGAGGGCTGAGATTAGGATCACATGAGGTGGAGGCTGCAGTGAGCTGAGATGGTGCCACTGCACTCTAGCCTAGGTGACAGAGTGAGACCTAGTCTCAGAAAAAAAAATTTCAATTAGTTAGCTATGATATTAAACAGCTGGCATATAACTTTTAAATGATAACAGAAACAAAAAAATAACATTTCAGTAGTAAATTCAACATGTTACAAGTCATCATTTAGTAGGTAGCAATATTCTATAACTCATTTTACTAAGATGGAGAATAGCTGACCAAAATTGTAGCTGCCAAAAATTGCAGATACAGAACTCAGAAGCCTTAACAATGGTTTCTCTGATTTGGCAGTTTTGGACTGTGTATCACATAGCATTTAAAAAGCAGATACTCTTTAATAGTTCTACAACTAGAAACTTATCCTAGGGAAACAACTGGGCAAATGTACAAATCTTTACATTTAAGGATGTTCTAACTTAGTGCTGTTTCCAGTTTTAATCTCATTTACAACTAAATGTCCTCAAATATGCACTTTAAAATACAGTACATCTATATAATAGAATACTTTGTAGCCATTACAATGGTCTCTAAATACCACTGGCATTTATAAGAAATCATCGCTCCTTTGTGACATGGCTGGCTGTAACTCCCGGGCAGAGAAAGCTCAAAGTGTATCTGTAATAACGTTCAGTGGCAAAAAAAAAAAAAAAAAAAAGTTGTGTTCAAAGACTAGTGAGAATATGTCAAAAAGACTCAGAAGCTGGTTTGAGCAGATCCCACTGGGCAAATTTGAAACAGTATGAGCCTCAAAGAGAGAAATGGGAGTAATAGATTGTAATATGGTTGCTCTCTGTATCCACTGGTTCACCATCCATGGATTCAATCAACTATGAACTGAAAATATTCAGAGGTGGGTGTAGTGGCTCATGCCTGTAATCTCAGCACTTTGGGAGGCTATGGCAGGTAGATCACCTGAGGTCAGGAGTTCGAGACCAGCCTGGCCAACATGGTAAAACTCCGTCTCTACTAAAAATACAAAAATTAGCAAGGTGTGGTGGTTTGTGCCTGTAATCCCGGCTACTCAGAAGGCTGAGACACAAGCATTGTTTGAACCTGGGAGGCAGAGGTTGCAGTGAGCCAAGATTGAGCTACTGTACCCCAGCCTAGGCAACAGAGCAAGACTCCGTCTAAAAAAAAAAAAAAGGGAAAATGGGGGGGGAATAAAAAATTAATACGGTACAAAAGCTCAGTACAGCTTAACAACCATTTATATAGCACTTCCATGGTATTAGGTATTGTAAGTAATCTAGAGATAATTTGAAGTATTTAGGAGGATGTACGTATGTTACAAGCAAATGTCATTTTACATACGGGACTTAAGCATCCACAAATTTTGGTATCAATGGGGGCCCTGGAACCAATCTCACATGGACATAAGGGACGACTGTTCATAGCAATAACAAAAAAGGAAGTGGAAGGAAGGCACTCTTTAGAGAAGAATGCCTAAGAATTAATGTAAAAGGATTTTGCAACTACCACTGTAGAAACTCATACAGTTTTCAAAGGATCTAACACCACAGGGTGAAAGACAGTTTAGCAACAGGCCAAGATTACTTGTTCATTATAAAGGAAAAAGTTGTCTTTATAATGGAGAGATCTGATAGGCACAGCTTTAACCAGTAAAGGCATCATCAATAAAGAATAAACGAACATTACTTATCATGTGCTTCTGATATGATGAAATGGAAGGCTGGTCAAGTAATTTTCTTGTCTAAAAAGTTACCTGAATCTAAACATAAATCATCAGATAAATCCAGATTATGGGACATTCTACAAGACAACTGGCCTGAACGCTTCAAAAATGTCACTATCATGAGACAAGATAAAAATAAGGGACTGTTCTACATCAAAGCAAACTAACAAAGAATGGCAACCAAATACAATCCACGATCCTTGACTGGATCCTAAATTTCAAACAAAGCACAAACACACATACACCAAATACATACAAAAAGCCCAGCCATAAAAAACATTTTTGGACAAATGGAGAAATTTATGTATTAGACAGTATAGTATTCACATTCAATTCCTTTTTATAATGTTGCCATTGTGGCTACATAAAAGAACGTCCTTATTCTTGGGAAATACCTTCTAAAGAATTCAGGTCAAAGTACCATGTCAACTACAACTTATAAGGCATATTCCTTATAAAACATATTGCTGAACCATTTGAAAACGCCTTTAAGAGAATCACTTGAATGAGGGAGGCGCAGTTTGCAGTGAGCTGAGATCATGCCGAGGCACTCCTGCCTGGGCAACAAGAGTGAAACTCCGTCTCCAAAAATAAAAAAAAAAAGGTTTCAAGAGAAAGGAGAGAGAAAGCAAATTTGAAAAATTATTAATAATTGGTGAACCTAGGTGAATGGCATAAAAAATAGTTGTTGGAACTATTTTTTCCAACTTTTCTGCAGAATTATAATTTTCTGGAGCAGGTGTAGTGGCTCATGCCTATAATCTCAGCACTTTGGGAGGCCAAGGCTGATGGATCTCTTGAAGTCAGGAGTTCCAGACCAGCCTGAATAACATGGTGAAACCCTGTCTGTACTAAAAATACAAAAACTAACTAGCCAGGCATGGTGGCATGTGCTGGTAGTCCAGACTAACAGGAGGCGGAGGCAGGAGAATCACTTGAACCCTGGAGGCGGAGATTGAAGTGAGCCGAGATGGCGCCCCTGCACTCCAGCCTAGGCGAGAGAGTGAGACTCTATCTCAAAAAAACAAAAAATGGATATAAAAAGTTGGGAAAAAAACATTAATCAAAGGTATGTATCTATACTTAGTGTCACGAAAGGTAATCACAGCAAAAATAAAGCAGTTTACAGAATAGCATGTATATGACAAACTCATTTTTATAAACTGTATTTATACATGTATACTCCATGGAAGAAAAGTAGAGAAAGACATGTACTAAAATGTTAATGATAATTAGTGTCTAGGAGTAGAAATCTAATGGTTTAACTTTTTTCTCTTTTTAAAAATCTAGCCTCTAATTTTTAAATAGTAATATATTACTCACGTAAATAAAAATTATCTTCATACTGTATAAGCAACCAGAGAGAGAAAGAGAAAGGAAAGGAAGCACACATAAGAGAGAAACAATGAATAGGAAAGGCAACTCTGGTACTTCCTATTTTGAAGCTAATGTGGACATTTAAAAAAATGTCAAATCAGATTTCATTGTAATAATATAATCCTAGTTACAATTATAGCTAGTCAACCAAATAGGGAGAGACAAAAAAATTGTATCTGGGAAATCTTAGATGACAGATCTAGGAATAATAAATTCAATATTTTCTTGAGATCTTAACAAAATATTTCTTTCCTAAATAAGGAATCTCCTGTACTATGCCTTTAATAGCTTATAAAATGTCTTTCTACCATCATTCATACTGGTGAATGATGAGTAGGTCTTCATCATTCACCAGTCAGTCCAGCCAGAGTTCTCAGATGATAATGTCTCCTCATTCATTTCCATGTGGTTGTCACAGTTAACTTACAAATCTACTCACACAGCTCCATTTCTTAATGTAGTCTCTGTAGCTCCCTTTCTGCCCACAAGATAAAGAGACACACCATAACAAAGCACACATGGCTTTACATACTCTGACACTTCTATCCTCATCTCCTGACATTTAACCCACGTATCCTGTATTCCAGCCACAATGAACTTGCAGTTCCCAAACACTCCATGCATGCTTAATTCACATTGTATCCCTCGTACCCTAGAGTAAAAGATTATCTCTGAGAAATAAGTGTGTCATTCACAGCATATCTTCTGGGGGGAATAAAAAAGCTGAGTGTCTACAAAAAAAGGCCATATGATTTTAACCACTGCAATAATGTGAACTACCTCAACTAGAAATTAGCAACAGCAGCAGACACAATGAAGTTTTAGCCACTGTACCTCTCTGGGATAAATACATAATTATTTAAGGAAAATAAAGCTACTCTGTTCTTCCAAGAAAGATGTGCTACATAACCATGACCTTATGGAGGTTTAGAAAAGGCTACCCAACATTTCCATGATGAACTATTCCTGAAAATGAAGAAATAGCTCTTTGAGGGCCAAAATAAACAAAAATAATTTGTCTGTGGTATTCCTTGAGTATTAACCTTGAGTTTTCAAATTCATTTGGAAAGGTGGGAAAGGAAACAATACTGTAGAAAACTGGGTGTTATTCCCTCTAATTGCAATGCTAAGCTCAAGTCTCATAATGAGCTTTCAAATCCCCAAAAAACATTTTATATTCTTCTAAGATCTTTTCTTTAAAAAAAAAAAAAGCATACAATTTATAGTATAGTCACATTATGTACCTATATTTATCAATTAATTTAATTCCAATTATTGGAAATAAGGTAATTTCATAGACAATCAAGATAGTTTCCACTATGTCTCTTCCTAATTTGTTTACTCATTTAAACATGGTTTATCAGTCTTACCAGAATAAGTAACTGCTGTGGTACTATAAGTAGCACTCTGAGTATAGGATGGCACCACAGTTGCCGCAGCTGCCACTGGCTGTACGGTGGAGGATACAGGATAGATGGAGAAAGTAGTGGTAGCTGGACTTGGTGTGGCTGGTTTTATGGCTGTCACTTGTCGAGTTTGCTGGGCTTGAGTATACTGAGTTGCACCTTGGCTATAACCTGCTTTGGGGGCTGAAGTGGGAAAGAGACATCAGAAAATCAGAAGAGTAAGCCACTACAGTTACTGTACCAGTATCCTTAAAAACTGGAAAGAATGGGTACAAACGTCAACTATAAATTTTATGCTAGCAATTTCTCCTTGGCAACAGGTATAAAACTCTTATTACTAAAATGAACAAAATATGTAGGTTAATATACTATCTTCTGCCAAATGCTTTCTATGTATTTCCAAAATGATTATTTTGGCAAAACTTACAAGTAACTAAAATAGCAGTACCGCTAGTAAAGTTTTCTGAAAAGCAGTGTGTGTGTGTGTGTGTGTGTGTGTGTGTGTGAGTGATAGTGTGTGTGTGTGTTTGGGCTAGTCAGTCTACTTCAGAGTTAGGCTTAATGCTGGCAACAAGATAGAATGAGTTACAATGTATATATTTAAATTCATAGTAAAAACTTGTTTGAAAAATGTTTAATTATATGAAATTGTTCATATACCATTCATTGCATTTTAACTGATGTTTCCACAGTGAACTGCAATCTAAAAAGGTACTACTTACTGAATATTTCAAATGTCAATTAACTTGAATGCAGCTATTCTTAAATGACTGCCACTGATGTTTGTCAAACTTCTTTGCTGCCTCTGACATACTCAAAACAACGTATACTTTGAAAGAGTCTTACAAGCCTTATTATCACTAAATTAGTGATCACTAGTAAATGATCACTGAAGCACAGAAATGCTATTTCTGAAAAAGGTCCAAAATCAGGGGGCTAAGCTCATTTTATGTTCAGTTAAGTAACTTAGAACTTTTATCTTTTTTTTTTTTTTTTTTTTTTTTGAGACAAGGTCTTACTCTCTTGCCTAGGCTGAAGTGCGATGGTGTGATCATGGCTCACTGCAACCTCAAACTCCTGGACTTAAGCCATCCTCCCACCTTAACCTCCCAAGTAGAACTTTTATCTCAAGTAGAACTTATCTGCTTATGAAATTTGATCCACATAACACAAAAAGATGATACTTTTCAGAGATGAAGACTAATACCTAAGAACTAAAAAAAAGGGCTTAAAAAAGTCACGGTCAATACCAGCGTTAGAATAAGTCAAGATCTTCTAACTCTTACATAATTTAGCACAGGGAGTTTACTGCAGATTATTATACACAGAAATCAACAGAGAAGATACCACAGGAATAGTCAGTTATTACAATTCAAAACATTTTAAAACAACTTTTAAGGAACTCATAAAATCTTAGAACCAGAGGGACCCTAATGAAATCTGGGTCAAGTACCTCATTTACAGATAAGAGAACAGAGATAAAAGAAGTAAAAAACCACTTGCCCAGATTAGTAGTAAAGACAGTACTGGAAGCCAATTCTACTCTCTTCTAAACCAAGGCTCTACCTATACCCTCACATCATCCTTCAAAAATAATAAAGGAATTGCCCACTTTTCTTTCTTTCTTTTTTTTTTTTTTTTTTTTCAAGATGGGGTTTCACCATGTTGGTCAGGCTGGTCTTGAACTCCCGACCTCAGGTGATCTGCCTGCCTTGGCCTCCAAAGTGCTTGGATTACAGGTGTGAGCCACCACTCCCGGCCAGGAATTGCCCACTTTTCAAAAGCTTTGTTTTTAAAATTCTCAAATCTCTTAGACCAAAAAAAAAAAAAAAAAAAAAAATCCTTAAAGTCTATAAATATGCAGGCTTCTTTGCAAACAAAATGCTTTCTAAATTTGTACCATTCTACAGACTGTATTTAACACAATCAGTGGCTGATAACAGAACCAACTGTCATTAGAGATAAGAGAAAGATTAATTGAAAATATGGGCCCATTAAAGAGTTTCCACTGGTTACAAAGGCTGTTTGTTGGCAACATCATACGTTCTGGGCATTTCTGACAAAGATAAAAATGTGTTCCGAAGTTATCACCACAGCTTCTTTTGCACAGCTTATTTCAGTAGGAATGGAACAGTGGGCCAAAAGTGCAGAAATGGAGTACATTTCCAGGAGAGAAGGGCATGATTATGAATTGTGACTCCAAGGCATTTTGGCAGAGGAAGAGTAGGACATGGCTAGAACCTGCCTCCCAAGGTGATGTGATATAATGAGTTTAGATGGACTCAAAAGCTTATCTTCATTAAAAAATACAGTTAAGTCATACACTTCAATAGTTTATGAAGAAATTGTATAGGTTAAGAAAACCCACCTGTTTGATAGTAAGTTTCAGCAACAGAAGGCTGAGGTTGGGCAGCGGCAGCTACAGCAGCAGCGGTTGCTGTGGGTTGTTGGTAGTACTGCTTACTATCATAAGCTACAGCAGGCGCTGTGGATCTTACATATGAGTATGAGTCCTAAAGAAAAGGAATGAAAGAAAATCTTGTTATGAGACAAGTGGAAGGAAAAAAAACTTACTATATAAAAGTATAATAAAGGAAAACAAAACGATACGTAATTTCATGACAGACCTAAATATAAAAGAATCAAATTAAATACAGAGAAGATTTTGTACTTCATTAAAATAATATCAAAAGAATTTCAAGCAGCATGTTGAACTTTTACAATCAGAACAATCACCAAAACATTTCAAAATAATACTTAAGTAAAAATTAATTTTATTAAAAAATTCATGGTAGTTTTGCCTTAAAGATGGATCCCATAATACCAGAAAAGAACACTTGTGTCACTAAGCTTTGTGATCGCTCCAGCTTTCTTTGTCTTTCTTTTTTTCAAGAAAGATCAAGGTGAGCTGAGTGAATTCTGGCAGTTCATGAAGTAAAGAGGGATAGAAAGGTATGTAGGTAAAAATGGCTGAAGAAGTAGGCAGGGCCCAGAAAACACTGAGTTTCACAGACCCTATTGAAAACAAAATTTATTATATTCTGTCTCTGGGCATAAACAATCACACATCAAAAGGAATTTCATTTAGTAACCAGACTAAAATTAATAATGAATACTAATATTGTTTATTTATATTTCAATTTCTTACTTCACAAATTCCTATGTTTTAGAAAGAATATAGCAAAACCAGGGAAAGTTCAGAAGGACAAAAGTTTACAAAACAGGTCCTAACAGCAAACAAACAAAAAAACAGATTAAAGAAATGGAGACCAAATTTAATTTAAATAAGCAAGTAGTAAACTAGCACTGTTTTCAAACATAATAAAGAGAATGTAGAAGTCCTGTAAGACTGAGTAAGAAGCAACTGGATGAATAAGACTATGATCAATTTTTGTTATAATATACATTTAAAAAGAATATCTTGACAGGATAAATGTATAGGGGACAAAATTTTCACCTTCGCTGTTTTGAGAAGAAAATATACAATATGTTTGTCCTGTTCTCAAAATATTCTCAAAATAGGAGATATACCTGTGTTCCAGATGAATAATGCTCTAGTACAAACGAGGTAAGTCTTTTCTATGTCTTCAGTTAAAACAACATCAAACAAACAAACTTGCAGTAAATAGTGAAATATTTAACTAGTAATTAATGTAAAAGTTTTTAACAGATAGCTAGCTATATGTAATAGTCAAATGGACAGGGGGGTGGGAGGAAGGATTAATAATACAAAGTTCATTGCGAGACTTTATTTTTCTTGAGACAGAGTCTCTCTCTGTCACCTAGGATGGAGTGCAGTGGCACAATCTCGGCTCACTGCAGCCTGTGCCTCCTGGATTCAAGCGACTCTCCTGCCTCAGCCTCCTAAGTAGCAGGGACTACAGGTGCGCAGCACTGTGTCTGGCTAATTTTTGTATTTTTAGTAGAGACGCTGGTCTTGAACTCCTGACCTCAGGTGATCTGCCCACCTAAGTTGCCCACAGTGCTGGGATTACAGGTGTGAGCCACCGCGCCTGGCCAACAAGGAATCTTAATGGTTGGTCTATGTCCCCACCACCAAGGAATACTCATTTACTTTTCTCTATCATGACATGTATATTTTGGAAGCCCCAAGTCTGAGAAGCAGTGGCTAGGGCATTATATTATACACTGAACCAAAGAAACCCACATGTTAAGGCTACCAAAACTAGTAGTAGTTTTCTTACCTGGTAGTTTTGTGTAGTAGCTGGGGGTGGTGGTGGTGGTGCTTCTTGTTGCCTCTGGGTATAACCATAGTCAGTTGCTGTATGTGCAGTGGGGTAGCCTCCATAAGCAGCAGCTGTTGCAGCAGCTGCAACAGCTACTGGAGCAGGCCTGGCAACTGCAACTGTGGCGGCTGCTGGTGCATAGGCAGCAGTAACTGTGTGAGCAGCTACTGGAGCCTGATGGACAGTGTAGCTAGCAACTGTAGTTGGATGAGAATAGGCTACACCCGAAGCTGGCTGCTGGCTATATTGTGGAGCACAAGAATAAATATAATACAACTTTAATATCCAGGAGTAAATAAACTTGAATAAAACGCTATTTATCAACTGAAATAAAAAGCACATTTTCAAGTAATGTAATCATGGACCACAAAAGGTCAAGTATTTGAACTCAATAAACTTCCTATTCAGTATCATACATGTTGCTTTTCTGCAATTTTCATTCTTTAATCTCACTACATTATAGTCATACATTTCAGCTCATAGATTATATCACAAAACAGGAATTAAAAACTAGGATAAAAAACAGTATTAGCAAGAAAAGAAAAAACTGACCAAATCAGGAATTTTAGTTAAGTGTTTGTTACATGTGAAGTTCTTTATTATGCCATACAGTTTTACAAATCTTTACAAAGAAATCATGGTAAGAAAAACACTGTATTCTAACCCAATTACATAAAGAAAATTTAAGGTGGAAACTACTGACTAGCTGATTAAAAAATACTTCTGTTACTTTAGGACAGTACTGGGGAAATTTTCTCCCCCAGGGACATATGGCCATATCTGATGTATTTTGGATGATCAAACTGCAGAGAAGGTGGTGATATGTGGGCTACTGGCATCTAATGGATAGAGGCCAGGGATGCTGTTACACATCCTACAATGCATAGGACAGCTGGGCATAACAAAGAATTATTTAAAGTATGTCAACAGTGCTGAGGGTTGAGAAGTGCTGTTCTAGGGTACAAAACCTACAATGGAATATGTTATTTTAGATACCATTTTCCAGCTTACAGGCAGCATTTCAGTATACAAATTTACTTTTAAAAATATAATAGCATGTTTTGTAAAAGAAGATGTAAATCAGATGCTTTGAATTAAAACTATTTAAACCTCGAAGAGACAAAATATTTTGCAAAACGGCAATCAAATGAATTTCTAGCTAATGTTCTTAGAGCAATATGTTTAACTTTTAAATTGAAAGCCTATGTCACTAAAACCAAAAGCCTACAGATGTTAGCATATAAAAGTATTTCTTGTTCTAGGTTCTTGGAATAATACAATTCTACTTGGTAAAGCTACTTTACTAAGGCAGAAACACCTACTAAAAAAATGACAGCCCCAACAGTTATTCAGCTGGCAACTTTTAGCTAACCACATTTTAGTATGGGCTGACAACTAAGAAGCTAAGAAAAAGGAAAAAAAAATTGAAGCTGCACTAATTAACTAGTCTGATTAACGGGCTACAGGACAAAGTATTCTGCACTGGTGTGCATGGTGCCGTAGAAATGTAGTATAGAATTAAATTAAAATTTGGGGCTATTATATTTTAACTCTATTATGGAAAACGCTAATAAACTATGATGTTTGTATTAGATTATAAGATTCCAAAGGGAATCAATGTGAAGGTCAGAAATACGGGTTTTAATTTCACATAAGGAGGGGAGGACACCTGGAGAAATTCAGTCTAGTAAAGGTGATAGATGCCTTCTAATAGAAGACACTTACTCCATGCTGCTCCAGAGAACAGAACTAGAACCAATAGTTGGAAGTTACAGGGTGGCAGATTTCAGTCCAATATGAAAAAGAAAACAAAAAACAAAAAACAAAAAAACTTAGAACAGAGTCCAAAGAAACTCGTATAATTTCTATCTGGATGAGGTTTCCATATTTTGATGTAAAACTAGCTAACATTTTCTACATATATGCCAATATGACAAGAAAATAAAAGTTTACATCTAAAACAATGAAAAACTGGTTTGGGAATAACATTTTCTAGGAACAACTCCATATCCTTAAGAAAAATGCTAGTAACATGCATATTTTTTCAAAATTCCTAGAACTGAGAAAAAAAGATAATATTTAAAATACAAATATACACCAGGTATGTGAAACTTGTATTTAACATTTACTAACAGGATAAGATTAAATACATCCAGACCATACCGTCTAAGAGTCATTTTGGTTATATAAACAACTGTTTCTATTCAATCCACTGCTCCTTATCCAGTATCTGTCCCCAAAAGATGTCCTATTGGACAAAAAGCAGGAGGGAATAGAATAGAATGTTTACTTAACCAGGCAGTCAATCTAACTTACACTGCCTCTGATACTCACCCTAAATGTCCATGAGACTCAAGAAAGAATAACTATATGCTCTAGTTAATGCCTACTGCTGGCGTAATTATTACTAGTACTTTTCACTCTCCTACATGTCTCAGTTTGAACAACAAATTATATAGTCACCAGTCTCAGGAACCACATGAAAAAGATGCCAGCATATTTAGCAACTGCTATTTACACATCCCTGGCATTGTCTAACTCTGCTTTGTATAGTCAGGTCCCTACCCATCATCTGGACTGGAACCATATCTTCTACCAAAAGCATCAGGAAGGCTGAGCACAGTGGCTCACACCTGTAATCCCAGCACTTTGGGAGACCAAGGTAGGAGGACTGCTTGAGACCAGCCTGGGCAATGTAGAAAGGTCCCATCTCTAGAGATAATTTTTTAAAAAGTAGCCACACATGGTAGTATGTGCCTGTAGTCCCAGTTAGTCAGGAGGCTGAGGTAGGAGGATCACTTCAGCAGAGGAAGTTAAGGCTGCAGTGAACCATGACTGTGCCACTGCACTCCAGCCTGGATGACAGTGAAACCCTGTCTCAAAAAAACACAAGAAACAAGAAGAAGAAGAGGAAGGAGGAGAAGAAGAAGAAGAGGAAGAAAGAGGAGGAGGAAGAAAGAAGAAGAGGAAGAAGAAGAGGAAGAGGAGGAGGAGGAGGAGGAGGAGGAGGAAAGAAGAAGAAAGAAGAAAGAAGAAGGAGAAGGAGAAGAAGAAGAAGAAAAGAAATACTTCAAGAGTCAGGCATAAATGGTAGAGTAACTTCCTTGATGAAAATCAGGAAAAGAAAGCATGTAAAAAATTATTAAAGAGTATACACACTCTATATTCTTACTCAAGAAATGGCCAGCTCCTTACCTACTTACCAAAAAAGTGAGCCACGGACTCACTATAAAATGTAAGACTTCCAAGACTTCCAGGCAATCTTATTGCTTAAAAAAATAACAGTCAAGTTGGGCACAGAATAACTGTAATCCCAGCACTTTGGGAGGCCGAGAAGGCTGGATCTTGAGTTTTGAGACCAGACTTAGCAACAAAGTGAGGCCCCACCTCTACAAAAAAATACAAAAATTAACTTCGTGTGATGGCATGCATCTGGAGTCCCAGCTATTTGGGAGGCTGAGGCAGGAGATCACTCAGCCCAGGAGGCAGAGATTGCAGCGAGCTGAGATCACACCACTGTAGTCCAGCCTGGGTGACAGTGAGGCCCCTGTCACAAAAAAAACATTTTTTTTTTAATTAAAAAAAAAAAAAAGACAACACAAATTACCACATATCTGAAGAAAGCCTATTATAAACTGCAAAACAAGTAAGAATGACCGTGTGGGAAATGAACGTGTGAAGGCAACAGATGAGAATATTCAAAAACTCTAATGTGTTATCTATAAAACAAGAACTTTATACTAGCTAGAAGATAAAGTTGAGAAATAGACAAGATAAATATATGAAAAATATAAAAGAAAGGATAAATCTAGGAGGTCCAATGTCCAGCCAGAAGAAATGATAGAAAATAAAAAAGCAATTCAAAAAAATTAAAAAATAAAATTTCCCACTCGTGAAGGAAACCACAATTTCAAATCCAAAAAGCTCACAGAGAGCAAAACAGAGTGAAAAAACCAAACCTAAAGACACAGCATTTTACTTTTCAAGACAAAAAGATACTGTCTCCAGAGAGGGAAAAACTGTGTACACACAACTAAATGAAAATAGACTTCTTACTGATAACAACAGAGCTAGAAGACAATAAGATATTATCTTCAAAATTTAAGGGAAAATGATTACCAATGGAGAATTTTGTACCCAGCCAAACTATGGAGGCAGAATAAAGATTTTTTAAACATTCAAGGATGGAAGAAGTTTACCTCCTGTAACACCTTTTTCTTAGGATGCTACATGAAGATACATTCTAGCTAAAACAAAAAGTAAACCAAGTAAACACAGGATCCTGCAAACAGATGAAAGCCTAGGTCAACAGCTGTCGCAGCAGGCCCAGACAGCAGTGGGTACAGGCTGGAATTAGAGGAAGGACAGAAGCCTCTCAGAGAAAGTATCCAGAAAAACAGGGGACTAGACACATAGCCAGTAGACAGGGAGCCTAGACAAATTATAAGAAATGATAACATGATTAAGAAAAAGAAGGTAATGAATGAATTCAGGAAATGTAAACTGCTCAAGAAAGGCACGATTCCAGTAAAAGACTTCATAGTTGAGCAATGAGTATAGTGTAAAAAAGGAAAAAAACCATTTGAACTTAAGCCTAAGAAGATTTTCTAATAAGTAGTACAGGACTGTAAAATGGAACATATTAGAAATCACGATTATAGAATGGTACTAGGCTCCACAGTAAATACTATTGATATGATGATAACAAAACAGTTTTTGCTTTAAAGTTTTAGAATCAATCTAAATTAGAGAAGATAAACTATGACTACAGAACATAATGTAAACATTATCACAAGAGTAGATTAAGTGGGGGAGTAAAGTAAGGAAAGAGAAGTGAAGCGCAAGAGTTTCAAGAATTCTTAAAGTAGAAAGTACTGAGATACTGTTTAGCTTTGATGGAACTAAAAGTGGAGTATACTATCTAAATTAACAGAAACAGTCTAAATTTGGGAAGAGAAGAAATGAGAAGAGAGCATATGTAATGTAGCCCTCAACTGTGATTGTAGGAAATAAAAATATAAGCATAAAGTTGAAATATTATAAAATAGCCAAAGAGGAATATTTTTCAGTGATGTGGAGGTTAGCACCAACATAAAACAAAACCAGAATGCTTTAAAGGTGTAGGTCTCTGGGAAGATTTTAATTTGTATATAACAGTGGTTCTCAATGTGATCCAAGGACCCCCACAAGGGTTCCTGAAACTTTCAGGAGGTCCACACAAGGCTGTCCACTTTTTAATTTCACATTGGAGTGTGAGGTCAGGCTGCCTTGGTATATATATTTTTTTCTTTTTTTTTTTCTTCTCTTTTTCTTTTTTTTTCCATTAAACTGGAAGTTAAGCCTTGGTATATTTTAATTCAAATAATTTACTGCAACAATCTGAATGAAAAAGCAGATTTTAGAATCAATATTCTTAAATAAGACATTAAAAATATTTGTAAAAATGTAAAACAATGTCTCTCATCTCACTGTTTTTCATAAGCATATTTTTGCTTAATGTGTAAATTTTATTCTTTTTTTCTTTTTTTTTTTTTGAGACAGAGTCTCCCTCTGTCGCCAGATTGGAATGCAGTGGAGTAATCCTGGCTCACTGCAACCTCTGCCTCCCAGATTCAAGTGATTCTTCTTCCTCAGCCTCCCGAGTAGCTGGGACTACAGGTGTGCGCCACCACGCCCAGCTAATTTTTTTATTTTTAGTAGACATGGGGTTTCACCATGTTGGCCAGGATGGTCTCAATGTCTTGACCTTGTGATCTGCCCACCTCGGCCTCCCAAAGTGCTAGGATTACAGGTGTGAGCCACTGTGCCTGGCCCTTTTTTTTTGGAGACTTGATCTGTTGCCCAGACTGGAGATTGTGCAGTGGCACAATCCTGGCTGACTGCAACCTCTGCCTCCTGGATTCAAGCAGTTCTCCCCACCTCAGCCACCTGAGTAGACAGGATTACAGGCAGCTGCCACCTTCTGGCTATTTTTGTATTTTTAGTAGAGACAGAGTTTCACCATGTTAGCCAGGCTTATCTCGAACTCCTGACCTCAGGTGATCCACCAGCCTTGGCTTCCCGAACTGCTGGGATTACAGGCGTAAGCCACCATGCTCAGCCTAATAGTAAATACCGACATAACCCAAATAAACCAAACTCTGGGGTTCTGAATAATTACAAGTGCTACAAGGATCCTCCAACCCAAATGTTTGAGAATCTTCATTTCATGATGCAGACCATTAACTTGGGAGTCCACAATGGTTATTCACCATTCATTTTCTTGGTCTCTATTACCCCTTTACCCAAAAAAGTTTCTATCATGAAACAGGAAAATGACATTGCTTAATTCGTTAATAAAAACTACTATTTACAGTAAAGTAAGGTTTATAATTATTAGAAACCTAACAGAAAATTACGTTTTTTATTTAAACCTAGATATCATGTAATCACTAATAAGTGGCAAAACAAAAGCCTGACCCTAAGCAGCGCGGTCCCAGTGTGTACGTGCTCTCAACCATCACATGTACTCTCTACAACACTTGTGTTTTCTTAAACAGTTTAAAATATGGTGACAAGTTCAACATATAAATCAATCTAATACGCATTAACAAAATGAAAGATAAAACCCATGTGATCATCTCAATAGCATCTGACAAGATTCAACATCCTTTTACAAAAAAAAAAAACAAAACTCAACCAACTACGAATTGAAGGAAATAGCCTCAATATAATAAAAACTATGAAAAGCCCATAGCTAACCTCACATT